GCAGAGTAGAAAATAATGCATACAATCACTGCCTTCATTTGAGGACAATCACCCTCATATTCAATACCTTTAGATTTGTATTTTATATTTTTTTTCGTATAAATTTTACATATATTAATTTAATTGGTGAATTTATATATATTAAATGATTCCACTGAAAATTTTCTTTTAAAATAATTTAAGAGTCCAGTGGATTATGTAAGATGGTGCAAGATATATTATAAAAAAATTAAAAATTGTAGAATTATTTTATTTTTTTTCCTCTTACTATGAGATCTTTTGGCACGTTTCCCTTTATTTATATTTTGTTCATTCGGAGTGCGAGAAGAACTAAACAATGCTGAAAGAAAATTTTAGAAAAGAAAAAAATTAAATAGGTAGAGCAAATAAAATTATATATATATAATCTAAAAAGGAGAGTATCATGTTTTATATTCGAAATATTTTATTTTATTTTTTAAAGATGTTTTTATAAATATATATATATATATATATATAAATTATTATTGATTTTAATTCTTAAATAATGTAAGAGTCTTTCAAAAATAAACTTAAAATAATAAACATGAATTAAATATCCTTGTTTTTAGATAAAATAAATTTATTTTGTATTTAGAGAGAAAAGAAGAAATGTTGGGAGATTAGATTAAAGTCTATCTCGTCCACCTTATTTGAAATTATTTTATTTTTTATTCGGGTGTCTAATTATAATATTTAAAATAAAGAGGTAGAAAATATGTATTTGGGGTAGAGTTGAATGAGAAAAGAAGCAGTACATTTGGTGAGAGTTTAAAACATGACAGTCATGAGGATTACGTGTTTGTGTTCCATCCAGCTTGCGGTATAAAGAGATGGCCTCGTGGATTGATGTAGAAATAATTTATTATTATTAAAACGCAAATATTTATTTATTGACTTATTTAGTATTATAGTTATAAGAATCTTATAATATTATCATCACAAATTCTAATAGAATAACTAAAGATAGAATATCCAATGAGTGTATTTATTACAATTAAAACATAAATATCCAACTATTGACTTATTTGGTACTATAGTTATACCAATCTTATAATTGTGATGTTTGATTCTCATAATATGTTGTTGAATTATATCATCCATTGATTATATACGTGTTTTAGGGTTTACGTGATTCGTGAGAACGAAGACTTTAGTACAAGTCTTCATTTATAACATGGTATCGATTAAAAAGATATATAGACACTACAAATATGTTATGATTTATTTGTCAATCTTAGGTCCGACTACGTACATATATCGGTATATAGATCAATATCAAAAATCTAAAACATTCAATGTGTGATCGAGACCTAAAGGTTTATTTATTGTCTTATTTGGTAATTGTCACATAATATTTATTGGATTCTAGTTATTCATAATTCACATGACTGTTGTGATGCTTGATTCTCCTTGTCCGTTATCATGTTGCAACATCCCTTGATTATAGGGGCGTTTCAATGAATAACAAAGGTTTTGTGCAAGTCTTCATTCAATTATTGGTATTGGATCTGATTACATACATTCATCGATATATAGATCAATGTTACATATCTTGACCCTACATAAACATATATTGCAAATGACATTTACTGATTTACAGTGTGTTATATCGTGAGAGTAAAATTCATACATATATTCTTCATGAGTAGACTATATCAACATACTCTAATATGTAGGATAAAAAACTACCACAGGCCCATACAAATGAATGAGTGCCAAATATAATAAAAACAAAACACAAAATCCCAGGAAAGTTGGGAGTGAAGTATGGCTATAATGTGACGATCGTGGTGCAGTTGACCTCTCAGAGTTGTATTTCGACTTTCTGGTTGAATCAGTAGCAGGGTAGTTACTAAGCCCGGCAGCGACAGCAGGAGGCACATCTGCGTGTGGGTGTGGTCTTACAGGGATAACATTGTCACCCTCTATGTCATAACCTGTTTAAGGCTCAAAGTGTGGGCATTAAAGTATGACTACCAAAATTTAGCACATGAACAATAATATAGAGAAAGAGTGACCATGAGAAGAAAACAAACACTTACAATCAAATTTCTTCCATCCCAATACGAGCTTTTCTCGGTCAAATACCACTCGGTAGCCAGTCATGAAGTTTTCTGCAATAATCACCAGAAGCTGAGATGTAAACAATCATCATAATCATTTAGAATTACGAGCTTGAAAATGAGCATAAATGATACATGCATCATTTGAATTTCTTGAGAAAAAAAGAAGCAGTGCTGCCATTTTTAGTTTGATTTAATCTAAAGCAATATTTCTTTCTTAAGCCTGTCCCCCGGGGTACTTAATTCAGTTCTGGTTCATAAAGTACATCCAACCGCGAACTATTCAGAAAGTAGAAGAGACTTACGCCCAATGATATTTAGTTCAGAACTTTTGACAACTGCTAGACAATATACAAGTTCGCTCTGTAAAATGATAAGGGAAGGAACATCTTATTAGTTATCCGCATATTCACAAAGCTAACACAAATGTTGAATACTAATATTGAAGAGTAATCCAGCTGGAACTACCACCTGAGTAGAGATAATAATTATCGGATCATAAACAGCAAAATGGCTTCCACCTCCCATAGTTACACTCACACTAGGAATCAGGCTAGTGTTGGCATCAGGACTGTCCATCATAAGAAAGAGTAATTAGAGGTTGAAAGAAAAACTAAACCGAATAATACTAAATAATACTCCAATAGTTTTATCACCTCATATCATAACAATATTCAAAAGGGATTCTTGAATCTGATGGACGCCGCCTGTCTTGTACTTGGGAATGAAACTGCAATATAACAACTTTGGTAAGTTTTGTCCACGATGAACATCTAGCTAAATGTAAGCATCTTTTATCCCATTTTAGTACTTAAAGTACTTACACTCTCAGTAAGTCTCGTATAGATTGGATCAACCAAATATGTAAAAGAGGTCCCAGAATCAAAAAGAACCGTGAATTCCACATCAATTAGAGTTGTGCCTACACGGACTTGGGTGACTGTGATGTTATACGTAGGGCTGTGAGACGTATCCAAGCATAACAGAAGTTAACCTATCTTTGCATTCAATTAATGTTCCTGTAATTCATACAATCAGAGGCAAGTAACAGGGAATTACCACTTACTGTGATGGGTTCAGATTAAATGGAGTCTCATCTTGATCAAAACTTCCCTTGTCCCCAAAACTTATCCTTCCAATGCCATCACGCCCAAAACACATGGAGAATGAATCTGCTATAAATCCCTCCCTTGATAACATGCTAGGAACTGATATTTTCTCCATACCTAGCCCAAACAAACCGTTGGGGGCAGCAACATCTAAGAATGATCCACTCTGAGTTTGTCCACATCTGCAACAAATTCAACCCACTATATTGCTAAAATCACTCAGATAAGTGTAATAGTGATTAGCTTTGGTAATTTAACAAGGAAACTAACCCAAATATGACATTTGCCTCAACAAGGTCATGGTGATTATCTTCTTTTGTTAAATGCAAGACGTCTTCCACTAGTATTCCCGATGTAGACGTTTCGGCAGAAACATAAGAGACCATGTAGGGGCAGTTGCTGAATGTCCCGGGGCATTGGCTGCGGTGCGTGCACAGACTGTTGTTACAGGTAACCTTCTTGCTAGTTGAAGATCCATTCGGATTGTATACTTGAAGGTCAAAATCCTGCCACAACAACGTTTTTAATTAAGATACAAAGCAGGGCATGAAACACAAGACTTGCATACCTAGAACGTTAGAACCATCTCCCACATATCAGAAAGCTCACAACTAAAAATGTTTTTCATTCAAAAGGAATAAAAAAGGGAGAAAAGAAAAGGAAAATGTTATTTATTGGAGTGGATTACGTGAGATCCCCACTAGATAGTATGGCACAGGTTATAGAATGGGACCTACATACAATTTTTCTAATAATAAAAGTATGTACTCCATAGATTGTTAAAAGAAATGTACTTCTTGCAACATCCCGCTAAAAAAAAACTTCATTCTACTATAGAAAACAAGGAAAAGAAAACATACTGAAGCAAAAGCTGAGGCAAACGCTGCGCTATCGGTAGCAGCACATCTTGTGCAATCACAGGGTACCCAGAACAGGTCACTTCCGGTATCAAGCGCCACCATGAACTTCACTCCCGGCGTCCCTATTTCAACTGTCGTATAATGCAAACTGTATGAATCTCCAGAAGAAAAAGAAAAAGTTAAAGAAAACCCCAGGAACCAATCTCCAAGAAAAAGAAAAAATAAAGATACAGACAAAGATTCGTAAAATGACTAAAATCATTTACAAAGAATGGTCAAACTTAAACATTATTTATATCTAAACAGTATTTTTCTTCTTTTCCAAAAATGACCAAATTCCTTCAAAATTCTAACATTGAGTCATTATCCCTTCATTAAACTGTTAACTAAATTATCTTAAAGAAATTATTAACTAATTAATTTATATTAAAAGAATATTTTAATTTTCTATTATTCATACATTGATTTCATATTATCAACTAATTTAAAACGTTTTTAAAATAAATATTACAAAATTCAATCTTCTTATCATTTATGGTTGGACAAGAATATGACGAGAGTGTATTTAATTTAAATTAAAATTATAATAATAATTAATAATGATAACAGAAGAAAAAAGAAGGAAAGGTACAATCCAAGGGAGCTGATGCGGAAGGTGGAATTGCCATCGGAGAAAGCGAGACCGGCGTCGATTTGGGAGAGTTTGCGGCCGCGGAGGAAGCGGTCGTGGTCGGCCAACTCAGCGTAGTACTCGACGGTGCCCTTTTGGGGCGGAGCGGGGATTCCGGCGGCAGCATGGGACCACTTCCTGACCGGCTCGGAGTGGCGATGGTGCATGGTGAACGTGTAGACATGGCCGTGGCATTGGGAACACTCCCAGAGGGAGATGAAGGACACAACAAGGACGAGAAAGGAAGCGAGCATTTTCTTCGTTTGGCTCCTCTACACTAACCCTCTCCCGAGAAAGGCCGCATGAAGTGGGGGAAGGGGAAGCATAGATCACGGGCTCGGTGGAGCCTAGGGTTTGGCGTGGCGGAATGAGAGAAGATCTTGGCGTGATGTGATTGAGATCTTGAATTGAAACAGTGGCGGTTTTGGTGACTCTGAGGATGTGTGTGTATGGAGTGGGTGAGTGAGTGAGTGAGCTTTATAATATGAAAATGTGAGGCCCATGTGAGTGGGTCCCACCACCGGGCTTTCATTTTCAGCTCTTCCTGCTAACTCCAATGGCGGGTCCTGTTCCATTTTGGGCCAGGTAACATATATTTTGAAATATAAATAAATAATATATAATTTTTAAATTATACTTCCTTAACATTTATTTATTTACTTATTTAATTTTGCGGATATAAGGCTAACTTCTATGAATGACTGCTGTAAAAAGAGATGTGAATTAAAAATGTGAACAAATAGCAAATTATTTCTCTAAAATAATATTTTGTTCACGATCTCAAATCCTTTCAACTAATTACATATTTATTAAATTATAAAATCGTATTTTAATATATATATTTTAAATATTTATTGATTGTGTTGTTGGTTAAACAAAAGTATATAAGTTGTCTAAATTAATTTCAAATAGAAGCCTAGTAAATTAACATGCTTTACTAATAGTTTTTTAATATATAATTTAAGGTTGAGTTACACAAATTAAATAAATATTAAATTTTTAACACTATCTTTATTAAATATTTTTTATTTAAAATAACTTCTAAATGTTTTTATTTTCTCTCTATAATAAATATACTTAAAAAAATAAAGCCATATAAATAAATAGGTAATTAAAATAATCTTAAATTTTACAGTGAAAAATCTTTATAAACAATTCAAAAAATTGACAATTAAAAAGGAATAAAGAGAGAATTAAGTTGTAAAGTTTCATTAAAAAATAAAACTACGAGAAAATTAAACTATAAAGATATATTTAAAATTTAATAAAAGAATAGTAACTTACAAAGTAATAAAACCTAGTATATAAGTAACCTAAGTCTATAAAGTACTGAATAGTCAAGAGTATATAACCAATTCACCACAATGCTGTATTGGTATTGGTTTATACAACAAGATTTGTTATTTACATTTCTTCATTTATAGCCTATGATCCTCACATTAAGTATTTACATATTTAGTAGTAAGAATATATGTTTTAGACTAATTAGCCTCTTCTACAACAATTCCTTAAATATTACTTCTATACTGTGAAAATTTATATCAACTTTTTACTTCAGATGCTCCTTTCCTTCGTATTTTCCTCATTCACATGGGGGAAGCAGAGCTGAAACCAAATTTATCTGAGAGTTTGGTTCGTGCTAATGGTGAAAAAACTTCAACTTGGTGAAGAAACTCCACGTCATGAACTAATGGATTCTCTGTTCTGCGTGGAGGAGAGCCACAATAGCAACAAGGCAAGCACTCGTTGCATAGGAATTCCCTTCCATCTGCATTCTGCATTAACAACATTTACCAATCAGCCTCAGAAAGATTACTTCTTTTCTCTTATTCGTATTTAAAAAAACTCAAACCTTCTCAGATATCATATTGAGAATTCCACCTCCATCATTAATATTTGACTGACTGGTGAGAAGAATAGCAAATCATAAGAAAAGCAGACAATAAGAAAAGTGTTAACATGAAAGTATTCATGCATGTGTGAATGTGTTTGAAAAGAATACATCAAATGATGTGTTGTTGACATTTTTGCATTGAAGGCAATGAAATGAAACCTGTGTTTAGTACACTTGATTGGCTTGATGAATTCTGGCAGGGTAGGTGAAAGCTTTCTAGGCTTTGGACAAAGGGGTTGCGATCCAACCCTTGTTCTCTCTGTGCCTATATCAACAAGGTTACTTTTCACAACTTGATGATGCATGTTCTTACTTCTTCTACCTTTGCCTCTCACCCAAGTGATGAGGAACAATGGCAGTTACAAGTGAAAGAAAGGAGCAAATGACCTCTGCCTTGCTCTTCAATCTATTTATCCCCTCATTGAATTGGTTGTAGTGAAGACTATGATGAGTTACATTGAAATGATAACCACACACATTTTAGAGAGAAAGTTCGATGTAATAAATTAGAGATGAGTGGAGTTATATGAAATGGATTGGGATTCAAAACATGCTCAACTAGATTTGCACTTGTTTGGTCCATAGTAAATATAGCTTTCTTGTTTGACTATATGATCTTTATTTGCAAATAAGACTATTTGAAACCACTCATTTTCTCTTTTAAATTACTAAAATGCATGTGTTTTGTGTATGTATTTAGTATGATACAACAAATATCACTTAGACATGTTTTAACATTTAGTATATCTGATTAGTATTCATTATGACAATCATTTTTTAATTATTAAGAAAATATTTAGTATATATTTAATTAGCGACTTTAACGAAAATTAATAATCAAAACGTTTAAACTTAATCTTCATTCTTTTCAACTAAAAATTAAAATCATTAAACTAACATTTATAGTAAATGTATATTTTTTTCCATCTCTGAGTTATATTTTGAACTTAAGATAAAAACTTTATATTATCATACAATATTTTAATTAATGAATTTTTTAAAATATTTAATTAAGAAGTAAATATGAGACAGATAGATTGAAAGAGTGAATATGTAAATAAAGATAAAAGAAAAATTACTTGGGATGTTAAGAAACAAATGTTTTGGCTAATGGTTGGGGTTGTTTATGAAATGCCTATTTGAAAGAGTGGAGAGTCCTTGTCTACGTTTTTTTTTCTTTATTTACGAGATAGGAGATTAATTGAGATTAATTAGAGCTATAATAAATATGTAATTAAAATTTTAAATAGGAGACTATAAATAGAGTTTATTAACATTTTAAATAAATATGTAATTAAAATTAAGAAATGCAATTAAAAAATATAAATATTGAATACTTCTAATTGGACATGTTGGATGCAGCCAACTAATTTAACCTTTTTGTATTAATTAAGTTGTTAGAAAAATTAAGTTTATATATGTTTTTAGTGTAAATATATTTGATATAAATGAATTATTTAAATATTATGTGTGCTCTTTGATTTCATTTAAAATTTAATACACATTAGTATTTAATTTTTATGTGTAATAAAATTTCAAACATTTAAAGTAAATTACAAAAAGAAATTGCTTAAAAGTAAATGTGTAAATATGCAAGAAATTCAATAGCATAAAGATAAATCAAATCATTACTAAGAATAAAATAAAAATTAAAAATTGATAGAGAAAATAAATGAAAGTAAGTAAAAAACTTCATTGAAAATGTTCATTTTAGTTTGTAACGTTTGTTAGAATTTAAGTTTCTTTGTACAATTTAACAATCACCCTAATTACCTTTATTTTATCTTTATATATATATATATATATATATATATATATATATATATTATTTTTGTAATAGCCAATGTGTCATAAAAAGAAAACTAAAAAGAAAAAGAAATCTATAAATTAGAATATTTGAATGATTATTTTCTACTTCTCTTCACTCCATTGTAAATGCATATTTACTTGTAACGGTTGATTCCAATGAATTGTATTATAATCGTCTCTCCATGTGTCTTTGTATTTTGATGTTCTTCACTCTTTAATTCCTCAATTCCTAATTTGTTGATATTATGACTTTTTCGAAAAATCATACTGATTATTCTTCTACTTCCATACTATGTCTTTCTCAATTACTACATTTATTTTTTCTATATATCCGATATCTCTTTCTCGATCTTTTTGTAAATTTTATATTTAACCTATTTCTAAAAAAAAAATATAAATCAGAGTTTGAAAAAAGATAAGTCCTCAACCCATAACAGATAGAAGATGTTTTTTTTTTAAATCACATCGTTTTGATTCCTAGAATACGAAGGCCGATGAACTTTCTATTTAATTGAATTGAAATGTCCCAAAATTGAATCAATTTTTTCTAATTTTGTATAGATAGTTTTCAAAGTCAATAGAAAAAGAAAAAATAAAAATCAATCCTATGCACATTACAAACGCACAATTAAAAAAATGGATTTCTTTTGGTATTTTATTAATTACATAAAATCCAATTTAGAATGATGACTAACCTCATCATTCGGGTTCATTTTAATGATTTTAAATTATTAGAAAATTTCAAAAATTGAATAAAGACACCAAACAAGTTCTACAAGATAAAAAAATTATCAGAAAATTAATTATCACTGTGTTATAAAATGCTATTAAATTTAAAGTTAAGTCATCACCTATGCAGATGGAAATGCGCATGGATTTATGAGACGTATGAATTTAGTTTGGCTGAAAAAGCAATCTATTGGGAAGCATAAAAGGTAATAAAGGTATCCATTTTCATATTGAGAATTTGAGCTGTGCATATATTATGTGTTGTGGGTAGTTAATTAAGTGTTTGTAAGACAATAAACAATCATTTTCTTATTTAATTATGGTCGATTATGTTGGTATAGTATAGATATGATTGTACAGAATTATTAATTTTTTTTTTTACATAGACGTGATTATAATAACCATTCTTTTTTGTTATGGTACTAAAAGTGAAAATCGATTACAAACATATTTTTCCATTTCCGTCTTGCTTGGAAAATGTTATTGTTCCTCGCTTAGTTTTTAATTGTTCTTTAAGAGTGACATTGTTTGGAAATGTGATGTTAACATCTGAAAATAATAATAATTTTGTCAATCCTATTTTAATGGCAGTTAAACTACTAACATCTGATTATTTGTTGGGTTCAAATATTCAATGATCCATGGTTTTATAAATATTGGTCGAATTGAAAAAAAAATAAAATAAAGAAAAAATAATAGTTCATTGTAGATGAAAAAAGAACATATTAGTAAATAATATTATTGGTCTCTTGTTAAATTATATTAAGTTATCTAAAAAATCTTTACGAATAGAGGAATTATTTGGCTTTCGCTTTAATTTTCTTTGCAAGTTGGCGGTAGTAACGGGACCGGCACTACTTGCCCTAAGCGACATGCTCCTTTTCCTATTGAAAATGATAGCATAACACAACCTCAAGTTTGCAAAACTAGGAAGCTATGAACTTCGGAAAAAAAAAAATCCATATTGTACATTCCACATATTAACATCCTGGCCAAACTTTGGAATTGGGCAAGAAATGGTAGAGAAGAATGAAATGTCATAATTGCGTGTTACAACAAATTATGAACAGCAGTCCCCGGAAACCTCTTCCCATTTCATCCCTGGCCCCTCCTCTCCTGTCCCCTCTTACCAAAAACCACTATTTTTTTCAGAGTTACTTTTATATGATAGCAACGAGTCATCTTTGGGAGGTATCCCAATCAAATCTGGGTTGTGAATAGACCTCATAATCAATAGGCCTAGTATCAACAACGTTGTCAACCGTTTGAATGCCCTCCAAAATAGCTGGTTGAATACTATCGTTACTTGAAGGCAATAATTTATACATGACTAATAACCCGAGAGTGAATATGGCTTGCAGCTTGGTAGAGTCCCCCCGAACTGAGAAGAATAGGAGCATGGCAAGTAGGAATAGATCAACACAGAAACGCATGATGCATATTACAGTATCCATTAACCTACCATCATTGCCTGCAGGAAAGCCACGAACTCGGTAGACAAATAAAAAATTGTACTTGTCAACCACATATCTATACCCAAAATATACAGCACCAACAGGGACCACAAGGGGATTAAATGAACAATATACTAGAGTCAAGGCAAAAATTGTCAAATTAAAGGCATAATACTGTGCAAAATCGAACGTCTGTTTGGGAGCAGGTGAGCTTCCAGTGATTGGATAAACAAAAAGATCTTGTCCCTCGACATGATCCCCATTGGCAATGTCATAAGCATTGTCGTGCATTAGTGGTCTCTGAAGACTACTATCTATGCCCTGATGTTCTAAAGGGTATTCTTCACTTTGTTCTGGCACCAATTGAAGCATGTCATTCTTCCGAAATTTCTGTAGGTTTCTTTTAATCCAAGGAATGGGTGCCAACAGATCATAAGAAATCCCCAAGAAAGTACTTGTGATCAGAAATGCGAGTGAGGAAAGACATGACTTGGACAGGAACGATGCACTCATATACTGCTCAATCCTCTTGCAGTCTTCTCCATCCAAATAGCACCGACCCATCTTCAAGATGGTACTCTCTAACGACGATTCTACCAAACCCCTCAAGAGAATAAGATTCACAAGGAAGAAACAAACCATCTTCAACAGTGCAGCCCTTTGCTCCCCAGACACTGTCAAATGCCGTTCAAACTTCGAGAGATATGAAAGAGCAGAAGGGATCACAATATACATGCTAACAAATATGATCACATTGGGTAAAAACTGAAATATAATACTTGCAAGCCAGCTAGAGCTTTCCGCCCAAGCCCACCACAGCTGCGCACTATCCATAGCTTCAGCATTGATAATCCTCCCGGCACTCTGCACAGCAGTAATCACCGCAAGGGGTGAGCTGAAAAACAAAAGCATTAATAACAAACAAGTGTTCACAAACACCCGCCGCAACTTCAGCGACATCCTCGGCGTCCCCATGTTCTTCCAGTAGATGTCAGTGGCCAAGGGAGCCCTCTCAACTTTCCACTGGTTCCGGCGCAACCGCAACTCCATAACAGAAAAGAACTTTCCGATTCTCCTCCTCTTCTCATTTTGAAAATCCTGAACAGCCTTATTAGCAGTATACACATCCCTGAACATAACAAATGCAACACCAGCACCAGGCGCACGCCCTTCTTTATAATCAGCCAACTCACTCTCCAATTCAGCCCTCAGCTCCTGCAACTTTCTCAACCTCTCTTCATCACTATAACCAAACCTCCCTTTAAAATCAACACACAAACCCTTCAAGCATTTCCAACAACAAACCACCGAACCCCACAATCCGGTGGGGGAACCACTACTATCACGCTCATCGTCCGGCAAAAGCCGAGAGTCAATCCTGGCCACTAGCCACGAAATTTCATCCCTCACACGCAACAATTCATTGGCTAAATCATCCAAGGCACACAAATCCATTGGAGCAATAACCTTATAAACCTTCCCAGGATACCTATACTGAAAATACTCGTGCAACACTACCCTATCAGCGGCTATAATTTTTGGCAAACCCTGAACCATTATAGTGAATATAGCAGTGGAATTAGCGGCAGGATCACTCAAATTACCGTACCCATCCCTGAACCTCGTAATCCTCAAACGCTCCTCGGTGGCGGAAATCCCAAAGTGGACCAAAACCACGACAACAACGGCGAAGAGGAAGTGAATCCAGAGCAGGGAGGAGCCTTTCTCGATGTGCGTGATGGTGGTTCTAGAGAAGCCGTCGTCAAGGACGGCGGTGCCGGCGGATAGGTTAAGCGGGAGGAGGACGGTGACAGAGAGCACGGCGAGGGAGAGAAGGAGGGCGCAGCTGCCGCCCTCGATGAGGAGGAACTGCGCGGCGTCGGCGCCGCAGTGGCGGGCGATTTCGCGACCGGTGGCGTGCCAAACAGCGAGAAGCTTGGAGGCGAGGGCGGCGGGCCCCGGCATGCGGCGGTGGTCGCTGCGGAGCTTGACGAGGAGGAAGATCAAGAGGCAGCAGGCGGAGCCGATCGCCGAGATGTTCAAGAGGTAGTCAATGTTCCCGTACCAGGTGCCGAAGGGGTCGCCGCCGTCTTCGCCGGAGGATGACGGCGGAGGAGGGAGGGGGTCTCCTCCCATCGGAAATTAGGGTTCGGGGAATCCAAATTTGGCAGGGTTTTGCTGCGAATTGAGTCCGATTGGTAATGAATTATCGGTTAAGGAAGAGATTTGATGGAGTGCGTAAGGGTTAGGGTTAGGGTTGAGAGGAAAATCGATGGGAAAGGAACAAATGAAGGAAGGGCAAGATCAATATGCATGGAATTTTCCGTTTCCTTTTGTATCACTATTTTTACTTTGTGATCCTTCTGTCTTCTTGTTGCTGTTGTTTACAACTACGGATCAACCTTCGAAGAGGATACGTAATTTTACAATTGGTTAAGTCATAAATTTCTTCTTTTATCTTTTTCAACTGATTTTTTTTTTTTTTTTGAAAAGTTTTTTAAAATTAAATAAACTTTCAAGTTTATTTTGTCTCATATGGTTTAGAAAATATTATTTAAACATTAAAAAACATTGTAATATGTTTCGATAACGAAGATTATTCACGTCAACTAACTAATCTACAAAGTGTTAATTAAGTCACTACCCATCATAACCTAATTTTAGAACACCACTATATGAACCCTAGACGTAGTTTATATTATATATTTGCATACCTTTTTCTTATACCCAAATTATAAATCGAACAAGAACTTTAATCTGAAATATATACTATTATTAATATCTTGTTACCAGTTGTAATGTTACGGAATAAAGTTTAACACGTAGTTATCTTAATTGAAGTACTGTAATATATATTAATTATACAAATACATAGTTATCTTAATTGAAGTACTATAATCAATATGATCTTCATAATCTTAACATTAAAATATTTTTATAATTTGAATGTTGAAATAGATAATAACATATTTTAACTTAAAATTAATTTATAGTATAAATTTAATTAAATATTAAATGGTCAATTTAAAATGTCATTGAAAAAAAATGGCATTCAAAGTGTTTCATAGGTAAAGTTGGTAAATAATGAAAGATTGTAGTAATTTGACAAAATTAATCTTGTCATCATTAATTTATTTATAGTTTTATTTGTCATTATTAATATTTTTTTAAATATAACTGAAAAAAATTACACAATTTACGTTAAAAAATTTAAAATATTTATTTTGAAACTTAGTTCTGTTTAGATTATACTTACTGAAATTATGATGAGAGTGAAGGCTTTATTCCAAGACAAACTATCTCATACTATTGGTTTTTTCTTCTTTTATATTTTACAACACGTATCAATTTGTTTATAATTTTGTTTATGAGTTGAAAAAACTTATTTAATTTGGTAAACACACTTCTTTGTTGCAGTATATAACCTTGTTGAGACGTTACTTTAAAAAGTATTTTTCTTTTATTTTTATTTCAATTTAAATATTTTTTTCTTATATTTTTTTATATTATATTATATTATTTATAATATTTATTTTACTGACTAAATATTATATTTCAAGAATTTGATAATAATACAATTATTTTAATTTTTGTATCATCTTTTAAATAATTTCCAATAGGTATAAAAATCTTTACTTAATCTTTTAATCTTGATTCATAAACAATTAAAAAATTTCAAGAGTTAAAAATTAGTTTGAGAAAAACAAAAAAATTATAAATACCTCAAAGTTTATTTTTAAGCATATAATAAAATGAAATTTATAAAAAAGAATATATTACATAAACATCAGATAATTTGAGTAAATATTTATGATCTAACAAGTTAGTTGAATAATTTGCCCATACTATTTAATTTTCGGCTTGATTTGTTTGTCTTTGTAAAACTTGAATTTGAATTTACTGTGTGTGCAAACTCCATGGTTTCTTAAAGAAAAAGAAGTAATTGAAGATGGGCGTAGAAAAGAAAAGAAAAGAAAAAGAAAAAGAAAAATGAAGAGAAATTGACGGGTGTGTAATATTCACAAAATTCAGGGAGAGTTAGTTGGTGTAGATTACCCTTTTTCTTGGGTGTGTGTCGAGAAAGAGCAGAGTAGATAATAGAAGAAAGAAAAGGAAAGTGTTTTGAGTTTGAGGTCACTCATCATCATTCATTCACTCACTCCCACCACCGATCGCTCATCATTAAAGCCCTTTTCCCCTTCAATTATCCCAACCTTTCTTCTTTCCCTATCCTCTATTCTACATCACCACCACCCCCAAACCACAAAACCCTATCACCTCACACTTCCCTTTCTTCGATCTGTAGATCTAACGTTCTTGCATCACATAACCGTTGCTGTGTTCCCTCTGCAACCTAGTACTGCTCTTTCCAACAACTTTCTGCTCTTCTTTTGTGGATTTGTTCACTTATTTATTGTTTACGGGTATTTATGTTTATTGTATTTGTGTTTCCAGGTGCTTCCACTCAAATTTAACGGTTGAATTTCTCGGATTTTTATGTTTGAGTTTGAAATTGATTGGTAACCGTAGCATAGATATATATTATTTGATATAATATAGGTGAGGAAGGGCTGTGGGGGGTGGGGTTGGAGCATCCGTTTGTGGATGTGAAGGAATTGGAGGTTGTTTTGGGGTGAAATGAGGGATGCTATCAAGGTTGATGGACTTTCTGACTGCCTGCTGGCGGCGAAGATCCTCCGACGGCAAGGGTTCCGAGGTTACGGGGCGGAAGGACGGGCTGCTGTGGTACAAGGATGCCGGGCAGCACTTGTTTGGTGAATACTCAATGGCTGTTGTTCAGGCCAACAACTTGCTTGAGGATCAGAGCCAGATTGAGTCTGGTCCTCTTAGCTTGCTTGAGACTGGTCCTTATGGTACCTTTGTTGGTGTGTATGATGGCCACGGTGGACCTGAGACGTCGCGCTACGTCTGTGATCATCTCTTCCAACATCTAAAACGTAATGGCTTTTAGTTTTTATGGTCACTATCCATTTTTTAGAGAGATTCACTGGTGTTCCACGCCGCTATTGAATGTGTATCGCATCAGGTTGTCGGCTTTAGGAGTTAGAATGTAGTTAAAGTGGAGATGTTGATGACCCCAAAAATTGATGTGGTACATTTTCAATAGTATGGAGCAAGAATATTGTCTTGCTCTAGGAGCTTCTATGAATTTCTTTTTGGACAAAACTTAGATAAAGTTCCATTGATGGTGCTTGTGTTGTTCTCCAAATAGAATTAGAGATTCACCTTGATAATCTGCATAATAAAGCACTAAAAGAATTATGCAAATTACCGAGGTGAAAGTCAAATTTTGATAGGAGAACAGGAAACGTGTATATAAGTTTTGGCCTTTCAGTTCAACTCATTACTCAATGTTGCTTGTGAACATTTGTATTGACCTGTACATGTTTTTGTAAGGTTTTGCGTCTGAGCAGAAGTCCATGTCAGTGGAGGTTATTCGGAAGGCGTACCAAGCCACAGAAGAAGGTTTTTTGTCAGTGGTTACCAAACAGTGGCCTATGAATCCCCAAATTGCTGCGGTGGGAACTTGTTGCTTGGTTGGTGTGATTTGTGGTGGTATCCTCTATATTGCTAACCTTGGTGATTCCCGGGCTGTGCTTGGGCGGGTGGTCAGAGCAACTGGGGATGTTTTGGCCATCCAGCTTTCGTCTGAGCATAATGTGGGCATAGAATCTGTGAGACAGGAGATGCATTCTTTGCATCCGGATGACTCAAAAATTGTGGTTCTAAAGCACAATGTATGGCGGGTGAAGGGTCTGATCCAGGTAAGTTTTATATGTGAATCGTGGTGATTAGCCTTTTATTTTTATTTTTTTTATTTTTGAAAAGGTTATCTACATCTTTCCTAAATTCTTCCATCTTTTTTTGAAATTGGAAAATTAAAATTTGTTTTTTGCAGTCTCTCAAAAACTTGATTTGATTTATTAATAGATTGCGTTTTGCCAGTATTTTTTTAGATATATGCATATCTAAATTATGTTGTATGTGACTATGATGATTCTGAAAGTATTTGGATTATGCAATACGTAGACCGACTCTTCACAATTGGTCCTCTGTGCAAAGGCTTTGCTGTCCTGTGCATGAGTTATGGTCTCATTTCATTTATTTATGTTTTAATACAATTTTATGTCATTTGTCTTTTTTGTTAAAATGTTTTTTTAATTTAGTGACGTGATTTTCCTGAAGGCAACACCCTAAATCATGTAATAATTGGAAAAAGAGATTTTAATCTTGGGGTATAAGCATCTCCTTTCATTAGTTAAATGATTTTTATTGAGATATAATCGCTAAAAATCTATTTCCCCTCTATAGGAATAGGAGTGAATCTATTTTTACCAGATTAGTTAGGATATTAAGTTATTTATATCTAATACAACCATCATTAGAGGTATAAGTTGTTTTTTTTTTTTTTTCTTTTTGCAAGGACAAAAAAGAAGGATCTTGTAATTTTAACCAATTAAACGAGAGATTTAAGTAATATGCTCTGTTTTAATCATAGTTTACATTGTAGCCTTGCGCATCCCATTTTACTGGTATAAAGAATTGTCATACTATTAAGTAGTTAAGAAATGAAATCATCACCTCTGATATTTTTTTGGTACATATATTGCCTGTGATCTTAAATATATTATTATGTTACGATATTAGGGTTATTCTTGTGTTATTGAATTTTGTTCTACTGGTAGTGTTCTTGGCAAGGCTTGTGCTACACTAACACTTGACTTAGACCACTAAAATAACTGGGAATTGTTGATTTCTTTTTCCTAAAAAATTAATGCTACAAAATTTTAAAAAATCATCAAAATTTTGATGGAATTCTGCTATATATCATATCTTATTAATATCAATAAGATATTTTTTTTGTCTCTTCTTTTCCATCAAAAAAATCCCTCGTAGTTTCAACTTGGTTTTAGAGTTCTACCTAATATCATCACTATTGGCTTTTGGCTAGGTATTTGTGATTGAATTTCTTTTCCTTTGCCTTTTGGCTCTGGTTATGCGTATGCATCACTTAAGCCTTATAGTTTATATCTGCTCCATCAGTCTGTTTCCCCATCCTTCTTCTGGGTAGTGCTATTTAGAGCTTATTTGGGTGCTGAATTTTATCTACTGTTTAGTTCTGCAGTTGTGTTGTTATTGTATTTTCTTCTACACTAAATTAGTTTCCACTTTTCTGACATGTTTTACTTGTTTTTTGTGTCTACTAAATTCTAATTTGAGGTTATTCTTGCTGGTTGAAGCTGTAAGTATCTTTTATTTAGTGAGTTTAGAGAGGCTTAGGTATTATTTCTTGCTAGGCAAGATTATTGTTTCTTCTTCCTAGGTTAAGGCCACAGGCAAATAGCAGCGGCTTTTATGGCTGTCATTTTAACTATTTTGTTGAGCTATCTTTCTAACCATGCCACTTTTATGTATCACCTCTCCATAATTTCTTTAACAGTTTTATGATACCTATTTTACTGAGATGTCTTCCCAGTTTTTCAATTATGGTTTATTGAACCCACCTTATGTTTTTAGGTTGTTGTCCTGAAGTTTTTACTTGTAACAAGATAAAAGTTTGTAAGACTAGCTTAAGGAAGGGGTTCTGGAATATTAAGATTATTCATGTGTCTAGAATCATGTTATGTTAGTAGTCTTATTGGACTGGATTCGTACTGGTATAATACTAATACTCAAAAAGAAGAAACTTGGGCTATTAAGATCTAGTAGCCTTCATCAACGCTCCTATTAAGAATACATACTAGTTCACTCTACCACTGAGAGCTACTACCAGTTTCCCAAACCTACAAGATTGAGATCACCTAATTTTCAATGTTTACAAGCAGAAACAATGACAATCAAATCTCCTGAGCTCTACAAGATGATTTGATGACCCTTTTTATAGAAGTCTACTACTATTACTAGAACCTTGAGACACCCTATCTCGCGAATTAAAAAACTTAGGATAAAAACAAAAATTTAAGAACAATATAATCTGATTTCTTGAATTTGTAACTGACAACTTAGCTACATGAGTTGGTGATGATGACTCTATCTTGAGATGAAAGACTCCTCAATGATTGCTTACTTGTCGATTCTGAAAACAAACATTTTGATCCTCTCAATAGTTGCTCTGAGTATTTTTGAAAACATTGGCTTAAAATGAAGTCATATCTTAAGAGATTATTTCAGAGATTAATAGATTATTTCTCTGATTTAATTGATTAAATGATTGTCCCCAATTCTAGGTTTTCAACAAGGACAATTTAATGAATTGATGTTAAGTTTAATAGATTGAAACAAAATAAGATATTTGTGATTGAATTAATTGAGTAAAACAGAAAACATTGTAATTAATTAAACTCGATGTAAATTAATTAAATGAATCTTCTTAGCTTTTAAACAAGATGAGGAACAAATTAACATATTAAAACAGGAATGTGTTTGGTTCTGTTTAGGTGTTAAGAAACTGTGAACACTCTTCCAATTATCAGTTTTATCAAGAGCTTTTAGAAAATGTGCAAGCCCAATTTCTTCTTGTAAGGACAAAATAGCTAGACCACAACTTATCATTTATAACAAACTTACTCATGATGAAATTTTTATGTGGCAGATTTCTAGATCCATTGGCGATGTTTACCTAAAAAAGGCTGAATTCAACAAGGAACCATTGTATGCCAAGTTTCGTGTCCGGGATGGTTTTAAGAGGCCCATTTTGAGCTCCGACCCATCAATTTCTGTTCATGAACTTCAACAGCATGACCAATTTCTCATATTTGCTTCTGATGGTCTTTGGGAACACCTTAGCAATCAAGATGCAGTTGATATAGTTCAAAACAAACCACACAATGTAAGATAAATGTACTATATGGTCGTTTTTATTTTGAATGAAAAAATATATCTTAATAAATATATCACTTAATAGTAGCTCCAAAGAGTGAAAGATAGATGCTGGCATTACATGCTTTATGTCTTGCAGGGAATTGCTCGGAGGCTCATCAAAGCTGCATTGCAGGAAGCAGCAAAAAAGAGAGAGATGAGGTATTCTGATTTGAAGAAAATTGATCGTGGTGTCCGCCGGCATTTCCATGATGACATCACAGTTGTAGTTGTATTTCTTGACTCCAATCTTGTCAGCAGAGCCAGCTCAGTGAGAGGTCCTCCTTTATCGGTGAGAGGAGGTGGTGTTTCCCTACCTTCTAGAACTTTGGCTCCCTGTGCTGCACCCATGGAAACTTAGTTCAGGTTGATGAAGCTGGTTGTATGATCTGTTATGCTTGTATGTAGTGTTGTACCCTTAGCAGACATTGAGCTCTGGTGACCTACCAGATTGTATATCCAATTTAACAGAGATTGAAAAAACGTTCGCTCATTTAGTACAATGTAACAAGTGACTTCGGGTATGTAGCTTGCGTGAGTAAAGCATCATGGAAGTAGAGTACCAAAGCCGGTAACCTTGAATATTTGATTATTTTGCATCTCATATTTTTATCACAATGGGGAGTGATTTCTGTAAGTTGTCCGTGCACTCCTTTGAATGCATAGGTAGTTTATTGCACTCAATATGAAAACTAAATAAGTATCCCAAGTTCATATTACTTGTTATCCTTATTTCTTTTAGGTTATGTTTTATACAAGAAGAACGGTAAATATGAATTTTGGATCTATTTGTGGCACTCAAATTGATGGCTATGCTGTCTCTGCAATTTTAGATTGAAGTATCAAGTCTTTCTATAACTTCATGTTTGCATATCTTTATTTTCCATACATTACAATGTTTTTTATCGTGATATTTTATTATCGGAGTCGATAATAAAATTAATCTTGACTTGAAGTTGAGATGAAGAATAGGTGGTATGATACAACGTAAGAAAAGTAAAAGAGTACCTAGATAAAAAAAAAATTAGCCATTGTCGTAATCGTAATTAAAGAATATTGCAATTTTTTTAGAAACACATAATATCTTTACAAAAAAGTTTAAACTTTTACAAATGTCGAAGGTTGAAAAATTAGTACAAGTCTATTATCTCTTTTATTTCTTGTAATTTTTTACATTTTTTTTAATGGTCTTTTAAGGCAACGCCAACACTTTTTACTTGAAAAAAAAGAAGAAAAAGATTATCAAACATATATTAGTAAAAATACTGAGTTGCGGGGTACAATTACTTCCTCACCTATGAACTGGATCTACCCATACTTGTTGAGGTATTTACATCGATAACGAGATTTGAATCTACGTCTTTGTGTCTACCAATTGGACAAACGATAAATTATCTGGTCTCAATCTGTTGAATTCTCTTCAAATTTTTCTTATCAATGGAAAAACTAGTACTATTATATTCTATCCATCTTAATACTGATACTGTTATTTTCTAGGCACCTTAAGTCTGTGCTCTTAAAGGAGAAGCTATCCATGTCAACATGGAATTTCTGAAATCCAACACCATCAATACTAACAAAGCTCTGTGAGCAATCATATGATTCAACTGATCCCCGTGTCTCTGACTTCGTTGATTGCTGGGATGAGCCAATTGGTGTAGAGAATTCCTTTAAAGACTGCTTATTGCTGTTGAAGCTATCAGCTGAGTGGAGGGCTTGCTCTAGTTCTTGACACACCTGAGTCATTGTTGGGCGATGTTTTGGTTCTTCAACCACACATCTTAAACCAAGTTGCCCCATCTTCAGCATAACGGCCATATTGCATGGCTTACTTTGACATAGTAGATTTGCATCTATAATTTCTTCAACACTTCCCTTCTCTATGCTTGGCTTTGCCTGCATGATATACCAAGCTATTGTAATGAAGTAAATGAACTATAATGATCGTCTTGGTTTATTATCGATTGACAAAATAGAACAATCACAAAATCAAGCAAATTTTGCAATGGAAATTGAGGGGATCGTGCATTGCTTACCCAGTCAATAATATGTTGATTACTTAGTTTTTCAGTGGAATCCACCACAGGTCTAGCTGAAACAAGTTGCAAAAGTATAACACCAAAGCTATAAACGTCACTGAATTTGGTCAAATGAAAGCTTGAACAATAGGCAGGGTCAAGGTACCCTGGTGTCCCTTTAATCTGGCTGCTGACGTGTGACTGATCACCGGTTGGCCCTGATTTTACTAACCCAAAATCCGAAACCTTAGCCTCAAAACCTTCCCCTAATAGGATGTTACTTGGTTTGATATCACGGTGGATTATGCTTGGCTTCACCCCTTCATGCAAATAAGCTATGCCTATAAAAGGTACCAACAAAGCAATTCTATGTTAATTAGAGGATTTCTTGTTGAACAACTGGGGACTATTACTTAAAGGACAAACCTCTTGCTGCTCCTATTGCTATTTTCACTCTTTGCTTCCAAGTTAGGCTTATTCTGCTTCCTACAAAAAGCTAACATTCTCAGCCATGCATTTGTGGTTTTAGAATCAAAGATAGAAAGCTAATAATGAGTTTTCTATTCATGGCTTAATCAAATTTGGTTCATGTTTTAATTGTAGCTGCCTTCTTTTTTCATGTTTCCGATACAGTGTTCAAGTTAAGAAACACGTTAGAGGTGAAACAAAATCTTTCAGCGTACAGATAATAGTTTTGACTATAGTATTGTTTAAGAAGAATAAACAAAAAACTTACCCATGATGTACTCAAGCAGTGAACCATTTGGAACATATTCATAGACTAGTATTTTGGCTCCATCTCGTTCTGACCAAGACATGATTGTTAGAAAGATAGAGAGAAGGCTAGAGAAAATAGAAGACATTTTATTACTGAAGGTTACATGCTTTAATAGCAGTAAAGTAATTGAAAATCCTTACATGACTTTTCAATTAACACACTAAATGACAGCATAAGAATAATGCTCCTTAACTATCACCCCTTCATCTTCTGATACTAACTCACAAATCTTCGTTTTCTAACTATTGTTCTAACAATAATTAGGCCGAGTTAGCATAAAATTGTGTGGGAATAACTCCCTCGCTTTTACAATGAATATCACGATGCTATGAACATCAACAGTTTTTTTAACTCTATTTTTACAGCACAGTTAAGAGGGAACTTTTGTCAGTCATAGTCACCTGGTTCTTCACAATATCCAACCAGACCAATAAGATTCCTGTGCCTTACAGCTGAAAGGAGCCTGACTTCTGCCATGAACAAAGAAATAATTGTCAAGAATAATTAATTGAATTTTCTAATCGGTGTGAGTCATGGTTTTGAATTGCAGTTGTGGGTGCAGTTATCAAAAGTGAAGGTAGATGATGTTGCATTATGATTGGAGACCAAAAAGGTATATATATTTGCGACCACGATTGCAACTTTAAAACCATGACGGGATGAGAATTGGCACGAGTCAAACAGGCAGAATTATCTTCATTGAGGCTAACCATTTCTGAATTCTTCCACACTTAAGAATGATTCGGAATGAGCTCTCTTAATGGCTAGAATTTCTTCTAAGTCAAAGGTTCCTTTGTAGACATTTCCAAATGCACCAGAACCCAGCAAGCAATCTTGGCTAAAATTTTCTGTTGCTCTCTCTAGTTCCTTAAAATCAAAATACCTTAATGATATTTTATCACATTCAAAGCCTTTATGTTCCTTTCCTGCAGCAATAATAAAAAAGGCTTCAAAGAATGCGTGCCACTTTAGGTGAAAGAGATACTTGGGTTTGTAAGAAAATTCTGTGTTTGTTCACTAAAATTACTTACGTGGTATGAATTTTAATCTATTTGCTTTTACAAATGCAGCTCACTCACCTGTCAAAGTCTTACGCTGCTTAAGAAGTGGAATGACCTTTCTCCTGAAGAGCCAGTAGAGTAAGGCCACTAACATTGTTGCGAAAATGCCTGCAATAAATCCCAGCGACATCTTATGTGCAGATCCACTCCTGTTTTTCACAGGTGGTTGTGGTATTGCAGGTGGTGAAGTCTCCACAAAACAGAGGTAAACATAAAATTTGCAACCTTAATAGTGATGTTCTCTCCAAAATTACAAACTGAGACATTAATTTGGGACCCATCATTTAACATGTTACATAGGATACTGTTTCTTGTCCTTGTTTATTAAAGGGAATCCTCAATTTGGCTTACTTGGTCATATCTTGGGACGGCATATAAGCCAAGACATATCCATACCATGTGCAATAATGAAGAATATATCACAAAACATCCATTTTCAGCACCAGCAAACAGATAACAGAGCAAATAACTTATTATTTGCTGCAAAAATGACTTTAGCAGCTTGTTATTTTTTATTAAGATGCAACGTGGAATCAGAAATAGAGTATTCTAGTGCTATGGTTTCCTTGTGCATGCTTTCAAGGTTGAACAAACATGCCGGATAGACTTCAATATTAGTATCCTAAGACTGACCAGGTAAACTTTGTTTGATTAGCAAATTGCTAACGTCCTTTAGTGTTTGGTTTGGCCCGTATATTTCGCTTGTTTGTTAGCTTAGTCATTGTAATGGCGTAATCAATCTTACATTTTATAATTTTTATGTGTTTTTTACTTATTGCAACCCTAATACAATGATTAGGTATAATGTATAAGTAAGATTAGTCGCTGGCATACTGAATTTAGGGAAACTCCTGGCAGGACAAAAAGTCATGAATGTATGAGTTGCTCATTAACTAAAACGCATTTTGTAATTTTGTTTACTCTCATCTGCAATTTTTTCCAGTTTCAAACTTTTGTATCACTACACGTTTCTATTTCAACATTTTTAGAGTAAATTAATTCCATTTCAGCAAGGTTAATTGAGTTATTTAGCACCAATTGTAGTCTAACTATTGATCTTGAAGGTTAATACTGTAAAATACATGTTATCCTTTCCATTGATCTAAGATTCTAAATGCCCCTCCATCATTTTTTTATATTATTATTATTATTATTATTATCATCATTATCCGTAACTAATTGTCTTTGTCTATTTCCAATAACTAGTGCTATTGTTTAATTGCTTATTGGATTTTTGGCATCAAACCTATGAGACTATAAGTAAGTATAACCCGTGCACTCTAAAGTTAGAAAGGAGCCCAATATTCAACATGTTCACCAACGGAACGGGGTTAAGTTTACTGGAAGGGACTACTCCTTCGTAATATGACCACCAATATTTGTACTTTTTTTTTTCTTCAGAGGTCTCCACGTTAAGTGTCTGGATAGTACCTTGAACAAAATTAGCTCCAAAAAGGATATATGTGGGAAATATTAAAAAGAAAAATGTGTTGAACATGCTCAACACCCTTTGATCTCTACTTGTTCCTCATTTATTCACATTAACTATATGTTCTTCGTAGCCTGATCACATCTTAGGAGGAAAAACATAGTGTATAGTGTGGTTGTTCTGTACGTTGGATGGTTTATACTTATGGTATGAACACATGAAAGTTCTTAGAAAACAACTAAAAAAGTAATAAAAAATAACATAAAAATGAAACCATGGAGGCTTTTATATTCCTTGCTAATATTCAAATATGTAGAAGCTAGAAGAACTTTAGTTAGAGACTAGGAGGAAGTAGTACATGGAAGCTTAGCTTGCCATTCTAAGGTTTGTTTAGGCCAGATCTTATCTTCTTCACTGTATAAGTATCAGTCTTGAAAGCCTTGGCAAGGATTACATCATCAATTCCTGTACTGAAAATGGAATGGGGTATTGAAACTGTTCCTGCATTTGCACTTCCAAAGGCTGATATAGCAGTGGCTGAAACTGATTGTGGGTTATACTGATAATGTATCAACCCTTTAGGAAATATGAACATATCACCGGGTTGAAGGGTTTGTGTGTAAAGTGTGCGTGCAGAGTCAACAAAACCTACTTGCAGAGAACCACTTACAAGAAACAGAAGCTCGGCTGCACGCGGGTGGATATGAGGAGGGTTGATGCTACCAGCAGGGTACTGAAATAGTGCATATGATATACTTTGTCCATTAAGAGCAGGAAATTCAACCATGGTAGCTTTTGTCGCCTTGAAAGACTGAGGAATTTGATGAAGAACTCCTCTCAATCCAGTGTAAGTGAAAAAGCTTCCATTGACACTAGAGTTCTGTGGTGAAACATAGTCGTATATGATATCTGGATCACTGGCCAGAGCATTGTTGAAGATAAGAAAGGAAGACACTAACATGTGAAAGATAATCAATCTTATGCAGGTTAGAGTCATGTTTCTAATTAATTAGCTGAAACAGGGACAGAAACTTAGTGATCTTCGTTTTTTATGGTCCTTTTCCTGATTTCAAATCACTATTATTTTGGTTGTTGAGTTGTGCTGTGTGGTATTGGTTTGAGGCTTAAAATCCACTGGGCCATGATGCATTCTTGTGTGCAAGCCTCACCAAAAATCAATGCTTTTCTGAGCTGGAAGCAACATTGGACGGAAGATTTTTAAGCCAAGTGTTTTGAGGATAGTGACATCTTTTGAAGGGTCATTTTCTTTATTTAATTTGTAAGAAAACTCTACAGCATTAACTAACACAGGTTGAAAAAAACACTGTTTCTAACACGTAATTTAACCAGCTGTTGTGTAATGAATCTAATGTACACAAAACACTACAGGGAGTCTTATTATGAAATAGCAGCAAAAACCACAGAAACACTACCGGAGGAGCTACCGGTACTTGACTTTAGCCTCTGATACTTCCAATTTGAGAATCAAAACATACAATGTAACATGTTAACTACTAGAAAGCCATAATTTAGAAACGTAAAGCTACCTTAGGATATATATGAAATGTCAGAAAAGATGATCCAGCGTTATAATCAAAACCTCTAGAGATTCTTAACAAACAGTGAATAGTTATAAAGAGATAAATTTGTTCCTTTTAAGATTTCCACCGTCATCAATGTCATTGCATTCATCTCTACTAATTTTATTTGTTTTTATTGATTATGTTTTTATACGATTCGTATTAAATTATATAATTCTTTATCGAGTTATTATCGATACATGTTTTTATTGTGTCGAATACGTCTACGATTCAGGTATGTTGGTCTAATCAAGATATTGGTGCTTCAAATGCGAACATGAATATTTAATCATCAAAAAACCAATCGTGTTTGCATCTCATATTTTTGTCATCCAAGGTGAAATGAGTTCTTAAGTTGTCGGGGGTACTCTTTTGAATGCATAGTTTTTTGTTGTACACAATATGAAAAAACCAAAGTTCACTTAACATGTCCTCCATTTTTTTTCAAGGTTATGTTTGATGTTTGGTCCAAGACTGAAATCCTAGAGGACAATGTATGATAAATTACAACAAGTTGTTGTTCTCTTGAATGTAAATTTTATGGAAAAAAATATGATTAACAGAAAATTTTCATAAAATAAAATGACTAATAAGATTTTTTTTTTATAGGAGATTAATCTTTAACAAAACCTTAATATTTATAAATCAATTCACACGTGAGTAAAATGTGTCATTTTATGGACAATATCTCTTTGACACCCTAATCATGTTATAACTTTTTTCCCTCGTCTCTTAACATAACTCGGGCATAAAAAAAAGAGTCAATTAACACTTATTTTTGGCTAAATATTTTTTAGACCTTATTGTTAGAAAAATTTGAAAAATTTAAAAAAGTTATGATAACAAAAGACTCGAAGCTTCTTCTTTTTTTCCCAGTTTATTTTCATAACATGTTATAGGCCTGGGGAGGTGGTATAACATGGTGAACAAAAGTTGCTCCTGAGGACGGTCGCTTGAGATGACATCAACACCCCAAATTTCTATAGCGTTGACCCTACAACTTCAAGATCATAGCATAGTTTTTCTTTAAACCCTCTTCAAAACCCTTAGAATAATTTAAACTTAAATATTTTTGTCAAATTTTTTTATGATAATGTTTTGTAAATTTTTGTTACGTGAAGATTAAAACTACTGTGCATAATTTTTTATTTTTGTCAAAATTAATGTTAATGTAATAAGTTTTATCGAAATACCTATAAAAATATATGAACAAGTTTCATTTTATTGAAAATTTTTTATTTAAAAAAAAAAGAGATTTAGATAAGTCTTTCACCTTTAAAAATGATTTTAAAATTTTCTTACTTTATACCCAATAGAAGTCTTTGCTTGTACATCTCACCTAAGTGATAAATTATTACTTAAACAAAATATGCAAATAATAAACTTGAAAAATTGCATCTTAAATAAGTTTTAAAGCACTAAATATAATCCTCTAAGACTTCACTACACAATTTTTTTTTAAACATGTTATACCTAATTTAAATATAGTTATTCTACCCTAACATTACATACATACATTATTAATCTAAATCAATACATACAATTACTTTTCTTAATATAAAATTAATAATCAACTTCCTACAATTCAAACAATGTGAAGTTCTCATTATGATCCAGTTCATTGTTCATTTATTCGAAGGTCATGATAAATTTACTATTCGTTAGTTTCACAACCTCAAATTCAAACATTCCAAAAGTTTTTAAACTCACAGAAAGTCAGATCTTATTCATACAAAATCTCAATTAACATATTAAAATACCACAATACTCCTAAATTAGTTAATTCTTTACCCTCACAAAGTTCACATGAAAAAGTGATAGACTCACATGCAAATTGTCTTAATTTGTATAAATACTCTAAAATTAGACAAAGAGACATTACTCTATCTAAAATTATGATTGAATGTATATGTTCTCCTTGTTATTAAGAGTGCGATGTGATGCTTGGATATGAAAAAAAATAAAAAGATAAGAATCGAGTGAGGAATTTGTATAGAGAGAATTTAGAGTTTAGAAAAATAGTGATTTTTTAGAAAAAAAGTTTAAAACATAAAAGTTTTCTATTTAAATCATTATTATCTCAATAATAAAAACTTTAAAATTTACTCTATTTAATTATTAATTTTCTTTAAACTACTAAAGTCTCAAGACATTATTAAGATGCCTATGTGATCTTTAATCTCTCAAACTATTGTTAGAAAATAATGTAAATTTTCTTTAAAGGATTTATGAGAAACAAAAGAAATATAATATACTAACACAAAATTGATAATGGAATTTAACTCATTATGTTTATTTTTTTGGGATTATTAGAGACCTTTTATTAAAAAAGAAAAATTATAAAATAAATGTTAACAAAATATTCAACTCACACAGTTAAATAAAATTAAAAAAAATATTATTTTTTAATTCTTATTTTATTTCTCTTTCTTTTTTTTCTTACACATATTCAACTTACATTTTCAATAAATGTTTTTACAATACTCAACTCACACTTATAATTAAAATATATTGCATTTTTATAACATAATGTTATTTATACATGTACGCAAAATTTTTAATCTTCACATTCTATTTTCCTATTTTCATGCATTCTTTTAATTTATTAATTTTTTTCTTAATAAAGAAATACACTATTTCATGAATTTTGCTTCATATGATTTTCACTATATAATAAAACCTTCTTCTAACTCAATTCTAACTTTCTTAACTAACTTTGAAGTCATAACAATTATCTACATGCTTTTGTTACTTTCATAAAATTTGAAATAGATAAAATAATACTATTTTATATTTATGATATCCCATCAATAACTTTAGTACCAATAATGTATCACCTTCCAATGGCTAATAGATATATAATCTTAACCATGAATTTTCTTTCGTCTTCTTCTTGAGGTGATTGATCCTCCTCAGAGGTGAAAATAAATAGGAAAAAATGTGTTAATCACATATCCTATGTTAAATTTTTGCAAAACAGGAATGATAGAATATTTAAAATAATTGAAAAAATATCTTTTTGCTTATATATGGTGATTTGCATTACAAAGATCTTTTTCATTGAACTTGGATTCTTCGTTGAAAATTCTTTTGACAACTATATCAAAATTCCTATAAATTATCTTAGGAACTTATTTCAAATCATACAAGTTTTTCTTTCATACACACCATATTCTTTTTTTTTCTTCTAAGAAATCTTCATGTTGATGCATGTAAATTTTCTCATTCAAGTCTCCATGAAAAATGTGTTCTTTACGTCTGGTTACACAAGATAGAGTCTCTTACTAGTAACGATGCTTAAGACTAACATAATAGTATTGAGTTTCACAACTAGAGCAAAGATTTATGTATAGTCAACCCCTTCCTTTTGTTGAAATCTTTTAAAAAGTTGTCAAACTTTATATTTCTTGAAGCGATTATGATACTCCTTTAATTGTGTCACACATTTGTTATGAAATATTTTTTCCCCATAGGTAAATCGGCTAGCCCCCATTTTAATTGGATACTAAAGACATCATTTCATCTTTCATGAAAAAATCTCACTTATTACTATATGGTTGTTGGTTATTGTTATTTTCAATTGACTCCTTCGATCAAGGAATATCAATTATAGGATTTTTTTTTGAACACCATCCACATTATATACACTAAGCCGCTTTATTCTAAGTTGTTAATGTTTGTGTTGTCTCTGTCCTTATACATCATTATTTCATTGAACATTACATTTCTACTGCAAATTCATTTTTTGTTTTATTATCTTATAGGTTGTAGTTAAACTCATCCTCACCATAACTAATGAAAGTGCATCTCTCCAATTTAGTATCAATTCATGCAATCCACTATACCATTGTGTTGATATGTACCAAACACATTCCTCTCCATTTTGATTCTGTGTTCATAGCAAAACTTATTAAATTATGTTGTCTTCATATTCATCACAATTGTTAACTCAAAGTGTTTTTATCATAAATCTTATCTCATTTTTTCCACCATGACTTTATAAATCTTAAAATCCTTAAATACTTTTGGCATGTGTTTTAGAAAATAAATTCATATCTTCCTAAAGTGATCATCAATAAAAATCATAATGTATTATTTTCATTAATGAATGAGATAATCAATGACCCCTAACATAAAAGTGAAAAAACTCAATTATCTAATTCTTTAAGGTTCTACCACTTGTTTAAAAGTTAACTCGTTTATGATTTCTAAGTATATAATTTTTACACATGTTAATTACTACTAATACAAAACCTAGTAGTTTATCTCTTAAGTGTATGGTCTTCTGCAATAAAATGACACGCTAGTCTTGTAAGATTGCACTCTTTTTACCATGAGCAACTTTCATGGTCCCTTTGAAATCTTTCAATGGTCTCCATAAAAAATTGTATAATAAAAAACTATGTCTAACATTATTTAATCTTCACAGGATTGTTAATCTAAATTGTTAGAATATGATAATATCACCCATCATGGGGCTCATGTCATGACCACAAGGTTAAGAGTCTTGCGCTCTACCAACTGAGCTAGATGGACTTATGAATAGAAAGTTTAATAACAATCGAAATTGACCTAAAAACTAAAATAACTACTTTGATTTTATTTATAATTCTCACATCTTATTTAAAAAAAGAAGAATAAACTTTTTGAAGAAATTTTGTTTTGCATCACCTTCCAAAATTGGTGAAATTCACTCAAAAATATTTTACAATTAACTACATGTGTCACTATATCAAAGAATTTATTATATATACTCTTCAAGATTAACAAAATTTAAGATGATTAAAAAATCTTCATATTATCACAATAACTTCATTGAAATTTGATGAAATAATTATTTTTCTTCATAATAACAAAATTTGAAAAACATTCAATCATTATTTATTTTGTCCATTTTCCCGCCTTTATTTATCCTTATTTATTTATTTTAATTATTACATTGTCCCTCTTGAACAATTGCTACTTACTAGTGTTAGGTGTACTACAACATTTTTTTTTATTTGTATAGACAAATTTATTTAAAGATCAATATGTTCAATATTTCAAAATCCATTATTTCAACATGATTCAATAAGACATGATGTGACACAATGAAACATGTTATTAGGTCAACTATATCATGATAACTTTTACAATTCTTAATTTTTTTTCTTTTAAATTTTGAGTTGGGTTACACTAGAATTTTCATGCACCACACAAATAACATAATAATCTTCTAAAAATTTTATAAATCTAGTTTTTTTATATAAAATTACATTTTAATAACCCACGAGTCGTAGCTTTTACCATTGTAAAGGAAAATAACGACTTGTGAGAAGCTTAAGTTTTCTTTTATTCTCCTTCCATTTCATAGGTTTCATAATGATTTCAGATACCAATTTGTTGGGTTTTTTTGTCTAAAAAATATATTTTTGAAAGGTTGAAGTTATAGTATAGGGAGAAGCTTCAATAATATTATATATATATATATATATATATATATATATATATATATATATTAAAATATAATAACAATATCTCAATCTTAACCTCCTAAATTAAAATAATAATCTAATATATTTTTCTTTATCTCTACACAATATTTGAAAAATTGAAACATAAAAACTGAATAATTAATTTAAATAAAAATAATAAAGTATGCATTCTTATAAAATATTATAATATGAACTTTGACAAGCTTCAAAGAATAACAAATCTCCCTAGTTAAAAATTTTTAATATGTGAGTTGGAAAGAAGAGTTTCAGTGTTGGTTCTCTTTTGTGTTATATTGCTTGTTGTCTATAATTAGCTCACTTCATTAGCAATCTAAGGAATAGAAGGGCCTTTCATTTCTTCTACGGTCCTTGTCGTTTGTTCCAACACATTGACACCATAACTTAGATAAGACAGTAGTATATGGATTCTATGAAAAGTGCTTGTGATAAAAATGCAAATGAACTTGCTAATAATGATATATGTTATTATTAAGAAAGTATATATTTTTGTCAAAAATGCAAATGTTTACTTTCCTTTGTGGTCTAGTATAACTACAACTGAGTTGAATTCTCTAATGTTTTCAAGTCTATACATTAAAGAAGAAACTTAAGTTTGAAAAGAACATGCATAACTTTTTATTCATCCTAACTAAAAATAGTAATAAATACATTGTTTTTATGAAAAAAAGAGAGTAGTTAATATAAAAAATAAGAAAAAAATAATATTTCAAAATATAAGAAATTAAATCAATTTGATTTTTTTTTAAATAATTAAAACTACAATAATATTGGACAGAGGAAGAATTATTACAGGGTCATATGAATTGTTTTAATAGAAGATCATATAATATTAAATAGTCTAATATTGGGCAATAAAGTGTTATTATATTAAATCATGAAAAAAGAGAAAAAAATGTTATGCATGTACTACACCATCCTCTTAAATGAAAGATGACCATGTTTTGTTTGGTCCCCAGAAAATGAATGTGTTGTGGGCCATGTTTTATGGAAGCATCCAATCCAAAGTTGACAACATGTGTAGGGTGGATGAGAGTGATGAAGGCTTGAAAGATGATCCAAGTTGCAGAAGTTGAGAATGGACCATGCCTACCAAATGCTTCATATTTATTACCATTTTCTTTTCCTTTCTCTTTATTTTAATGGCAACACTGTCCTTTTCACCATCATCAACTTCACATTAATGACATGCTCTTTCTTTCTCTCCATTTTCATACGCTGCATTTAACAACATCTCCATTATTTTATACCTACTTTGCTCTTGCACCACTCCACAATAAATTGTTAGACCATTTCTTTTTTTTTTTCTGAATTTTATCTATTTACACATTTTTTTTAATTTATATAAAAAATAAATTTAACTTTTTCATGTATTCAAATTAACTTAACTTAATTTGCTTATTGTTTTGTTACCAAAAATGGTCCAAAAACATTCTTCAAAACGTGTCTTTAATCAAATACACTAATAAAAATATAAGTTAAATAGGTAATTTAATCTTTTTTATTTTTTTTAATATTTTAAGGTGGTTCCAAAATTTTAAAATTTTTAATTTAGATATGAATATTGAAACTGATGTCAATTTTGGATTATCGTTATTTATGTTTTGACTATGTTATATTAAATGTCTAGTTGGAGTATCAATTCTAATATGGGGGTGATTGGTTATAGTTACGTGACAGATTTGTCACATTACAATAAAATTGCATTCTCGTCGATCATGGTCACTTATTACCGTTCCTTTCTGGTAACCGTCGTTCATTCGTTGTCGCAATAAATCATAGTTAGTCTCTCCCGCATGCTTGACTTCACTGTCGTCGCAGGTCCCCCTTCCCTCGTCGTCAAAAACAACTCGCTCTCGATGTCGTCATTGCAAACCCTAAATGGAACTAACATTCTCCTCCTTCGTCACAGTCAATCTCACATACAACAACGATTAGAATCCTAAACCCCTACTGTCATCACAAATAGAACTCTCACCTCCTTTGTCGTTGCAGATCTTATCGCTTTCCCTCACTCATTTGCACAAACAAACTCTCAATTGTTCAAACCCTAAACACATCTGCTGTCCTATTCCTTTTTTCCTGCAATTTTATTGTGACGTGACAAATTTGTCACGTAACTATAACCAATCACGTCATAACTATACTCCAACCAGATATCTAATATAACGAAGTCAAAATATATATAACGGTAATCCAAAATTGACATCAATTTCAATATTAATGTCTAAATTGAAAATTTTAAAAATTTTGGGACCACATTGAAACATTTTAATAAATAAATGGACTAAATTACCTATTTAATCAAAAGTTTATCTTTTTACAGTTTAAATTAAATAATAAATAACATTGATAGTACCAGGACATATTTAAAAATACATTTACAAGAATCTTATAATTTTTTTAAAAGATTAAAATTAATAGAAAATATCAGAGGTACCGGTTTATATTTTTGGTCAAATAATTAAAAAAAATAGTAACAAGAAAAATTAAAGAGTACAATTTAAAATTTATTTTTAATTATAAAATTAACAAACTTATTGTAAATAATGATTTATGATTATAAAATTGTAAATAATTGTTTTATTTTCTCTAAGATTAGGTTCTTAGAGAGAGTTTATTCCAGTGTGCTTTGATTGGTAGAAAGTTGATATTTTTTTTATGATGTTTTTGGATTTTAGCGAAGAGAGAGAAACTGGTTGATTAGTGGAGAAAGTGAAAAATTGAAAAATATATTTTTTTTCTTGTAACTTTTTTAGCCTACGAAGAATGTGAATAATAAAAGAGATTACGTCTTTTTACGATGATATATCTTTATATAATTAATTATATTTCAAGTTTTCTAAATATATATTTAATTATTATAATAACAAATAGTTAAATAAAAAAATTAAAAATAATAAATAAATTTATTTAAAATATATAAAATATTATTGTAATTAATTTTAACTTTTATAATCTTTACTTTTATATATTTTTAGTTTTTATTCTCTTTTTCTCAATTTAAATAATTTTATTTTTTACTTTTTTCTATAAGGATATATATACAAAAACTATAATGTTGTTTTAGTGTCATAAAAAGAAAAATAATAAAAATGTTATAATTTAAATTAAAAACAATAATTATAATTCATATATTTAAAAAATAGTAAAAATATAAAAAATAAAAATAAAAAAATGAATATACTTAAAAAGTGAAAATAAAAAATAAAAGAAAATTTAAAATAATATTTTAAAAATAATAAATATAAAAAAATTGTGAACACGTGTTTCCTCTCAAATACATTAAATACTTACAATACAATCAATAACTTTAAATTTTCGTATTTTCTTTACTTTTAAATGTATATTGATCTAGGATTATACATATAAGTATTAAATTTTATCATTTAGTTATTAATATTTTTATTATTTTAATATTTTGTTTTCATATAAAATATTTTTAATAATTTATTATTTTCTCTGAGAAAATGGGAAAAAATAATTAATATATTTTTAAATTTTACTGAAACAAATTTTTCTAATTGAAATATACACCTTTAGAAATGTAGGAAAACATTGGAGTACATTAGAATATGTTTATGCCCAGGAGAATCATGATGTACTTAACGTTAACCAACTAACTGCTAATCATTGTCAATGATTGATTTATGTTCTAATTAACATAATTTGCTCTCCTTTTTATGTCAAACTGAGATTTGATAATATAGGACCCACTAGTTGATGATTGTAAGTTAAATTAATCACTTTTCAAAATTGTTCTTTTAGATAATATATTTAGCCATGCTTAAATGATACAAATAAATAATTTTTTCCACAATAATAATATTTTATCATAAACAAAATAGTAAAACTTATCATTAAAAGCTACTCACTTATTTTTTCTACTCATTTTCTCAATAATTAAATATTTTAAATAGAAAACCAACTAATAAAAATCATTTCATATTCTTTTTTATTATGTTACAATTAAATAACATGTTGTATGATGTAAATAAAATAATTCACCTTAAAATTATCTTTCAACCTGTTGCCAAATTTTTGTACTTATAGCCTTTAATATCTTATTTAGGACAAATTTATTTGTCTCAAATATTGAATTGAAAGTTTCTATAAACTAAATAAAATAAATAATTTTTCATGCAAATAAAAATTAATCATTACTTTACCACACTATATTGTTTAATATGTTAATTAAAACATAAACAATAATTAAAAAGCATAACAACAAATGTCTACTTAATTTTTTTAAACTATTAAAATTTAGTATCAAAATTTTTAACTATGGGACTGAATAATTTTGTATTTTTTTTTTTTGAAATTAGGTGATATTGATTAAGTGAGTATTTATTGCTGTTCTTAAGTGAGTATTTATAAAAAAAAATTCATATTATATGATGAAAAATGGAAAACATAAAACATGTTTTTATAATTTCAAGATTAATCACACATATCTAATCCAAGAACAAACTCCAACACCAAATGAAATCTCAGCAAAATAAACGAAAGATTTCTACTCCCTAGATCACTGTTTCATGTTATTCCTTGCAAGGGGGAGAAAAGCATGCCAAAGTATTCTAACACCACCGTATACAAGAAATGGAAGCTGATTTATGTCAAAATTTTCTTTCTAGTAACTTGTTACAGCAGCGATGGCACTCATGAATGGCATGGAAGATGGTTGGTTCCTACTTCCTACTACATGTAACCATATTATACATTCCTAAAAGTAAATTTCCTTATATCTATAAAATGAAAGAACCTAGCTATTTTTACGGTTTGTACTTAGCATTTACAAAAATTACAGATCCCTTCTGCATAATGGACAAGAAGCATGCTTGATCAACCAGTTATCAATGCAAGGTAGGTGAAACATGTGATGACAATGAGGCAAACTTCTACCAGTCTCCCCAAGCTGAAAGTCCTGCAAATGCAGAGAGTTTCAAAAATATCAATTTCAAAATGCATAAGCTTGCCAACCCTTTCTTCCACCGCCACAAACAAAAAGACTCAACAACACTTTAAATACACACATGTATATTCAGAAGAAAAACATGTAAACACCATTTTAAAACTAAAAAAATTCAAAATAAACTTTAAGATGTCAAATAAGTCTTAACTACACCTTAGTCCTAAATATATATTAATAGTATCATTTAACACTTTTTTAAAATTTTGAACTAAAGTTATTAAATGGCAATGTGACCTTTTTAGTTTTCTTACTTTTATAGAATAATGTGGCAAATTATTCCCTTTTGAGAGACTAAAATGGTAGTTTAGGCCAAAAAGAAAAACTGTTTCATCATTTACAAACCTGGAGGCAAACAGAACATGAAACTCTCTCCCCAGAAGCATCAACATTGTTGTCACTTGTAATTGTGATCGTTGGGATCTTTTCTACTGAATCTCTCGCCAAGCCTTTGGTCACACCTATGTCAAAGAGGTTTTGAACCTCATCAAAGCTTATTTCAACCGCACCCATCTGAGAAAGGAAGAGTAAAGCATAAGCAAAATGATGGAAAAAGTGCATAATCAAATTTCTGTCTCAAAGCTAATACATTTTATAAGTACATTAGAATAAAAAAATTACCTGACTTTGGACAGCACTCAACATGGCTGGACCTATTCTTTCACGCACTAGTCTCCCACTCAATAGGCTAGCAAAAACATCAATCTGTATCACATAATTAAAGATGATTAGATTGCTCAACTTGCTTAGTCAATATTAGAATAAAAATCTCATGGGACCAAGTAAAGAGATCAGCAACGAAAGATGTCTTGAAAATGAAAACCAAGTCTCTCTCTAACCAAATATAAGGCACACCCAATTCCAGATTCGTCAGATTTCCAAAGAAGAAGGGAAGATTCAAACACTTCAATGGAGAAAACAGCTCCTGATATGGCACCAATAGCAGCTCCTCTAATGAAACCACTCTCTGTCTCTTGGCCTATCAAGGCTCCAGTCATAGCCCCCAACAAAGTGCCCACTACCAATAAAATAAGCAACTCGTTTCAGATGATTTTGAAAACATAAACAAGACCAGGACATGTAAAATTGACACAAACTTCAGGTTATCTAGAAAATAGACGCAAGACAAGTCACTTAATAAACATATGCAAATTGAAGAATAATCCTTCACAAACCCACGTTCAAGTTATCATTTTTCGCTCTCCACATAACAGAACAAAATTGAAAGAAAGAATGTAAGTATAATAGCCAACTAACTGAACAACTTCCCTCATCCATAACACAACACTGCAAATCACAATGGCAAAGACAATATCCTCAAAGCAGATCAAGAATCTGGTAAATGAGAACGGGGCTGTACCTAATGCGAAGCAGAAGGTCAAGATCGCTGATAAAATGTTCCCAATGATGGCTGAGACAAAGAGGGTACCAACCCTTTTGACCCTCTCTACGAAATTGCCGGAGTAACCCATCAAAGGGCATTGATTTGGCACAAACTCCATGTGGGTATCCCAGAAAATTCGAGTGCCGTTTGCTCTGTGTCACAGGATTGGGTTTAAGGAAGAGTTATGTGCATATATAGTAATGATAGTAATGTATAGAAGAGAGGAGTTTAATCTCTTTCATTCCATAAATACTTAGTGTGCAAGACAAGAGAGGAAATGGAATGAAACTGCCTTCAACCAACTCGCAATTAAAGCTTGTCCCTTAATGTCAGAGTGACACTAGCGGTTTTGCAAAGAATCAAGATAGTAACATTAAATAACATATTTTTTCGAACAAGATATTTTAAATTTTTACTATGGCTACTAAAGTTGTGTTATTATTATTATTATTTACTGAATCGATAATTAACCAATGTTAAAATTCTTCAAGCTACTTAATATTTCTTTGACTGTGATATTGGTGTAACAGAAACATGACTAATGAAAATTTGATGAGTTTTCAATAATCTTGAAGGATGACAGAATGAAAAAATTGATGGGGAAGTTTTGTTTTTTGTTGTGAAGGTTGTTTGGTTTAAAGCATTGAGAAAAGCAATAATCCAGATTCACTTTCAGAAAGGCACGAGAAAGTGACAAAAAAAGAGAAAGGTAAGATTTGTCTTGACAAATGGGAATGGCGCAGCCTCAGGTGCATACTCATCACATCACATGCAAATGGTGGCCTCAATAGGTTGTACGGAGCCAGGGAAGGGAATTGTCTCCATGAACTTATGATCGGCTGATAAGAAATCATTAATAAAATTGGAAAGGGCCACACACTGAGTTATGGAGCTAAGATTCTTTTGTCTTCAATGATTGAGTTTCACTATTTTTTTTTTAAATATCTTTTACTCTGTTATAATTTTTGTGACAACACTAACATGAGACTATTTTTATCAAGAATATAGTACAAAGAGAGTTTTTAGAAATTATCACAAAAATGTTACAAAGATAATATAAGTAGAGGAACGTTTTATTCATTAATTAGTGAAAACAGCCTGTGTGGATGTTTATATTTCATATTATTAATTTTTTAAAGAGACTATTGTTCTTTTAATTTTTTTGTTTTTGTTTTTACTTGTTTATTATATATATATATATATATATATATATATATATTCATTTATTTTTCATAACACATTTTTCTTCTTTTCCCTCTTCTTGCAATTATATAATATTATAGTAACTATTTTTTTAATTTTATCTTTCTCCACTTTATCAATAATATATTATAAAAAACATGAACCATTACAAAAGAAAATCTTTTATATAAAAAATATAAATATTATTTTATATATTAAAAAAAATCTTTAAATTATACTTATCCTATATTCAACACAAAAATGTTACAAACATTAATATTCAACATAAAAATGTTACAAAGAAGTAGAAGTACAATATAAACTGGATTTTTAATATTTGATATAAAAAAAACCATTTTTATTTTTATAGTATACAAAATATATATACATATAATATTTTTATTTTAAAAATATAATGATAGATCATAGTAAAACTGACATTTTTTAAGTATTATTTATGTATGAAAATGGTACTGTTGTCTTTTCTTCTATCATTATTTTAAATTTTTTTAACACAATATTTGAGTATAAGTCATATTTAATAATAATTTTCTTGTATAAGCCGTTATTTTTGTTTTGGAAAGTAAAAAAATATGACATGTTGAATTAAAAGAATTTATTAATACTTTGTTTATATTGATTTGATTAGAATTAAATTAAAAAAAAAGAAATATTATATAAGAAGAGTAAAGTTAGTAAGAAAATATGAAGAGGTTGGGTTAGGTGTAAGGGAAGGGAGTAGTTGAGAAAGAGTGATGAAAAAGGGAAATGGTAATTACTAATTATTAATTGCGCGGCTTAGACGTAGACTTAGTGCTACATGCACTGCTGGGATCCATCCAACATCAAAATTCTGCCTCGTGCGGGGGCTCCTCTCCAACAAATATCACCCTTATTTTATTACTCTTTTTATTATTAGTTTTAAAATTAAAAATAATAAGATTAAATATATTTGGAGATGTCAGGGTTAATTCACGTCATATTTTAAAATAGTAAACACTGTCGAACAATTAAGGTTAAAATTAACCTCTTTTAGATTTATAAATATATACACTCAAACGTCTCCAATTTAAAACAACTTTTCTGACTTAAAATTTACATGATACTCAAGATTTTTTTTAAACATTAATGTAAAAAATACTTTTGATCTCTAAAAAAAACTTATTTACCTTTAGTGTGAGAATATATTTTAAACGGTGTATGACTCGCATTATATTTCTTTTTTTACACAAGTTTATTTACTAAATAATATATAAATCAAAATTTAAAATGAAATATTTGTTATTAAATTTAAATTTAAATCCTTAAAAAATTATTGGCTATCAATACACTAATCGATCATATAATATGCAAGAAAGAAAAATCTACAAAACAGAAGCAGAATTACAAACATAAAACACCGCGTGAAAAGCCTGTGGTCTATACTCATTCCATCTATTCGTTTCATACATTTTTCTTCCGCCCCTAACTAATGCAAATATAAATTTTATTAATTTCCATTAGTGATATAACCAGAAAATGTAGGACAAAGAATTGATGTGGTAAAACATCCACAAAAAATTACAGGGCACGGCAACATGCTAAACAACATTTTCCTTCCACCCCTGAAAGTACTATCACGCAAATATGATCCATCAATCAATCACCTTAGTATAATATTGACATGTTGAACTCAATATGAGCCTGAAAACGAACTAAATCAACGTTAGAGGCGAATGGCAACAAATGACATAATAAATTTATTAAACAAAATGCCACGATTCTGAATCATGGTTGGCAAGAAATTCAACTTTGTAAACTAAATTTTATATGAAGTAAACAGATAACAGTCCTCCAATTAACAACAATGTAAAAATTGTGAAATAAACACTGTTGTCTAACCTTAGCGGTAAGGCTATATTCTTGTAAGTATACAGTAAAACAAGAAAGAGAAGATAAATACCTAAAGTAATGCCTATTTAAGTTCTGTATTCTTTGAGACGCATCCATTTGGTACATGACCACTTGTTACCCTTAATCACTGGACAACCACCTGAAAATTATTGCAGAAACAGACAGCCTTGTTAATTTATATTCTCCAAATTTGCAAGTTTGTGAACATGACACATTGCTCTGTAGTAATAATAACAATAATAATTATTATGATAGTAATAATAATAATAATAATAATAGTGACTGTAAAAAGAGCGACTAACCATGCAAACTAGATGGATCTAAGGTTGCATCAGGCTTCATGCTCCAGAAAAGTAAAGCATCACCCATCTTTGGTTTAATTGAAAGTCCTTCTTTTCCACATTCAGAAAGCTCATTCCACCAAGGCACAGAGCTAAAATTTCCCTTCGCATCTGGGAACACTGTCTCACCCCCTTCTTCGACATCTGAACTGCATCATTAGAATACATAAATTTGACAGCATGATACAAAACAAATTGAGGTTAGCAAATAAGAGGAAATTAAAGTCACTTACAGGTACATCAGCATTGTTGCTATCCGCTGTCCCCCATTCTTAGTGTTAAAGTTATCCTGAAAGTAGTCAAAATGAGCCTCATACTTTTGTCCAACTTCATAATGGAGAACTTGAAGTCCTTCACCATGCTCTGCATGTTGTGCGACAGTTTATACAGTGGTTTTTAAGTACATGATGAAAAATAATATACAATCGACCACGTTGCATGGATACGGGAATGGTAGTGGGACACGGCATTTTTTTAAAACTAGGGTACGGTACGTTAAAATAAAATTTTCTGAATATATATATATATATATATATATATATATATATATATATATAATTTAACATAAATATGATTACATTTTATGAGTGATAAAAACATAAATAAACAATTTATAGTGTAAAATGAAATCAACATGACAAATTGTAACACCATACATGACCCACTATTCTTTTATAGCTTCAAGATCCATGTATATATAGGAAATCGAATTGGTCAAGGTCACCATTTTAATTTTATTTATTTATTAGACTTTCCAGACCCAATTTATATCCAAAAAGGACCCATAAGTACTCAAATTATGTATCCATTTTTTTTAATGATTTTGGTGTGTATCCAATATGTACCCACGAGTACCTAACGAATATAACGGATACTACATGATTTTATAGGAGTACTTATGGGAGCTTCAGAGACCATCGGGAAGGAAAAAGCAATGTATCTCTTGCTTGCTTGATGGAAAATCAGTTATAAAATATCTCTTATCCAGAACTATGTGTAAATGGAGTGAAACAGTCGCACAACATGATGAACCATTACTTTAACTATAGTTGTTTCAAAGTTCTAAAGAAAGCGAAGACAAAAAAAATGTCGAATGGCGGTGTCTATAGCTGACAGATGGAATTCAAATAATCTCATTGAAAGTGGCGCAATCTAGAATTTTAGATATTCATGCAATAAATATTTTATTTTTCATAAAGCAAATTAGTTACTGAAAAATATTATGGATCTCATCACGGATTTGATTTCAAGAATTCTTTTGTAGATGATTTTAGTTTAGTGTTGATAAACAAAAGAAAAGCCTAGAAATGCACAAGGGATAGCAAGCACAAAGACAACTTCAACTTCACAGATATCAGTCTCATGCAGGCCTGACAAAAATATTAAGAAAAGGACAAATGCATAGTACACAATCTAAAAGAGACAGTTTGATTAGGCATTTAAACTATCAAAAATATTTTAAATGCCAACGAGAAATCATATCAGAGATGAATAATTTTCAAAATATGAAATTATTTAAGACACAATTTTTAATTCAAGAAACGTTTATGTTACCTTAAATATCATCCAATTAATAAGAAACTATAATCCAATTTTACGTTACCAGGTCATCAACACATAAAATGGTATGACTATGACGACAACTACCTTAAATATAAAACTCTTCTCACGATGTTGCAAATAATCTAAAAAATTTCTGCATATGGATCAATATTTAACTTATCATATCAAATTATTGTATTTTTAATGTAAATATAAGAGTTACAAAAATTATTTCCCATAAGTAGACATTGTTTTTAACTTTGTTAGGATTACAACCCAAATTTAATGCTTCATGACTGTTCTAAATCTAGGGATCCCAAGGAGGTGTCCTTAAACACAAGAAGGGGAACCAGGGAGGCAATTCGGCAGGTTCATGGAAGGGTGCAGAGTGCAGGGATGGCCTTCTGGCACTCACTACTATTTGATACTTATGTGATGCAACAGAAAAATTAACCACAGCAACGAATCCTTAGTTTTATCAACAATTAAAACTCATAAACAAGTGGCAAAATGGCAGAAAGTACATACCTACGGGTACAAAAGTAAAATCAGCAATTCTTTTTTCAATATCCCTCACAATTTTATCACGTCCTCTGGCCAGAAAAGCACCAGAGCTAGTCCGTACTCTAAATGCAAAAGGAACAAGTAAAGATAAGGTTTGCATCAACAAAGAGGCAAAGGCAGACTAAAGATAATTATTTTCAATATTGAAATCAAAGGACATTTGACAGGAAAGTATAAGGAGGAAATCCAACCTGCTGTCTGTACTCTTTCCAGTTTCACTATCAACAACTGATGATTTATGCATGTTTGGCTTCGCTATATTAATTAGATATTCGCATTCCTCCTTGGTCTGTTAAGATTAATCAGCCAAATCTCAGTACTTCGAAAGTGAAGACACTGAAATACTTAATAGTACAGTTGGGCACTTACCTTAAACAATGGTTAAACACAACATAACCATATCATGTTAAAGTGGTATTCAAAATTGAAAATAATACCTCATGTCAATAAATTAGAGAACGGGGCCTGTGTAGCCCACTTCTCTAATATTTCCTAAATCACGGCCATAATTAACCAAAAATTCTCGCCTTTGGAGATTAGGAGCATGCAAGTCGAAAATGGACAAACAGAATATTTGGAATGAAAAGCATTTGATGCTTGTTTGGTATAGGAGAATGTGAAAATGCTCAAAGAGAACACAATCCACTAATACTTTTACATCATAATTTGCAGTTACTCCTCCAATACAATATAAGTGAGCTGAAAAAGATTTCACACTCCCCTACTAAGCATCAACGAGTAAAACCCAAAACCTTCCATTCCATTCCATCTGCAATCTCACTCCACTTTAACTCCCCTTATCACTTCCCACCTCACCATTTTCTAGCGACTCAAACAAACTAAGCGCTGTTTAACATGTCTAACACGCAAAAATCCACTGACAAGCACAAAAGATCATTAATATCATCAAATTCTTGCGTGAGTCTAGGTCGTCCACTTTTCCAATATTTCCTATAGGCACAACTAATTAAAAGCTCTATATATTATGAAAATAACTTCAACACAGGCACCTTTATCAACATCTTTAGAACAAAACTTAGCTGCAATTCTTCAAGTATTTTTAGTGTTCTTGGTGTTACTTTCCGTATAGAACTAGAGTTTCACTTCAGTTACATAAACTAACCTTCATCTCGACATTTATCATGTAAACTCCAAGTCTAGTTAGAAAACAACATTAAAAGTACGTGACAAGCTATATCAAATTTTAAACATTATATATATATATATATATATATATATATATATATATATATATATATATATATTAAACTATGTTCTTACCAACCATATGACGCAGTGAAAACAACAAAAATCATAGGAGCGTTAATAACAAATACTGATAGCATTTATAAAAACACTAACCAGAAAATTATGATAGAGAAAAGCTCTGGGCTCCCAGGATATTATTTCAACCCACTTCTCTCCCTGATCGTCGCCTTCTTGGCTTCTGCAAAAAAAAAAAAAAAAAAAAAAAGATGAGAGAAACAAGAGAAGGAAATGGAGTGGAATGAAGGACGGAACAGGGAACAGACATACACGTGAGAGTTACGAGCGATGGAGCTAAGATCGTTGGGCTTGGAGAGAGCAGAGGAGGAGTTAGCATTGGTAACGGAGAGAATGCGGAGAGTGAGGAGAATGAGAACGAGGAAGCAGCAGGTGACGAGCAGCGTGAGCGTAAGCGTCCAGGAGGGCTTGGTCGATTTCCGAATCCGAGAGTGTCTCGTTTTCATCATTTGGAAGATCCAGAACGGGTCTCGCAATGCAAGAGGAGATCGGAAAATCGAATTGAAGGAAGCGGAGAGAGGAAGAGAAGAGATTTTATTGGTTCTCTGTTTGGGCTGTGTCACAGTGGGAGAGAGGTGACCAGTCTCTCTTCAGTTCTGTTCTGTGGGCTGTGCTTCCGTTTGCGCGCCCCTGTTTTCGTGGTTGGAATATTTTAATTAAATCAATTAATTAATCGGAATAAAGACTCTACGCTTCGAATGGACCTCCTGTACCAACATTTTCCACGTTTTTGCCTTCTTCAACTTCAACCAGCGTATCACCCGCACCTTTCAAAATACACCAAATACACGGTGCTTCTCTAATTAATACTTTTTATTATTACACAAACTTTCCCCTTTCAGATATTATTAGGGTCAGTTCAAAATAAATAATTTTATTTTAAAATAAAAAACATAAATCAACATTAAAAAAATACTACAAAAAAACTCATCTAATATACTTAATATTATTATTTTTGTAATATGTTGTGCACGTATTATTTCCAATATCTTTTAATTCTTGACACATTCATTAATAAAAGATATTAAAAATTATATATATAACTAAAAATGGATATTTTAAGTATACAAATTAAAATATAATAAATGTACAGACAAGGTTTTGGTTCCTTTTATTTTTCTCATTTTATAAAATACAACTGTTTTAAAATTATGTTTGTCAACTTTAACACAAAAGTCCACTACTTTGTTTTTAATTATTTAAATATAAAATTTGTAGAGTTAATACAATATAATTATTTATTTAAATTCCTTCCTTTTGAAAAAAAAGTTTGTAAATTCTATATTCAATTTATGTAATTGAATCTCAGACATTGAAAAACTAAAATATATATTTGCGTGATTAACTTTATACCATCTCATAGTATCATGCAGCATAATTCAACCTACGTAATTTTCTTCCTTTTTCTTTCCCTTCCACGACATTTTCTCACTTATTTTCTCCTCGTTTCTTCGTTCACTTCTTATTACATTTGGAGAATATTGAGCATTGCTTTCTCTTTAAGGCAACACGACATGACCACTAATATTATGTTGTGTTAAAGAAGATGGAAGGAATTCAAAAATAAGGAAAAGTAGGCAAATTTAACTTTTTTTTTCATAGACACGAGAATTGATTTGAATTGTTTTTGAATGATGAATATAAAGGGAAAGAGTTTATTGGGTGCAGATGATGGAGGAAAACGTAGAAGACGATAATTAAATATATTGATTTGTTCGATTCTGAGAATAAAAAATTATATATTTAGCGCTGTATGTTTGTATTGTACAATCTGAAAAGAGTTATCAGAATTGAATTTTATACAATTATAGTTTTTAATATCATTTTTAAAAAATTTATTCTTCAACCTAACAACAATTCTTTGCTTTTTTTTTTTTTTTTAGGAGTTTCTTATGGTATCTGTATTCAGTTATATTTATCCATAGAGTGAACTAAAAATAAAAATAATTGTATACTGTATGTAACACAAATATAATTAAAAAATTATTAGATCAAATATTATAAAAAATATATTATCTAAGTTAATTTCGTAAGTATTATAAAAAATTCTTAAATATGGATATATTTTTTATGGATTTTTATAGATAAAAATCCATATTTAAAATCAGTAATGGTTAGTTATAGACTTTTAAATATTTATGTAATTTCATACGATATTATCAATAGAAAAAAATATGAAAATATCATACTTATCTAATGATATATTCTTAAGTATTATAATAGAAAATTATATATAATAGATTGAAAAAATTGGATGAATCAGCTCATTTTTATCTCGTTAAAAATGGGATAAGATGAGTTAGTCCGTTATAGTTATAACAGGTCGAAGACCTTAATTCATTTTGTAATTTTAAAAAAATAATTTATTATTTTAAAATCAAAATTTTTAATAAATTTAATAATAAGATTATTATTTGTTTATCAATAATTTAACCTATATATTTCAAGTTAATAATATAAAAGAAATTATAATTTAGAATAATAATAAAATTTATATAATAATAAAAAATATATATATATATATAATGTCAAAATTTGTAAAATTTATATTTTTTATATTTAAAAATTTATATTTTTTTATTTAATAAAACTTTACATTATTTTTCATTCTAGTAATTCTTACACTTTTAATTCAAATAATAAGGATAAAAATAATGAGCGCATGGACAAAGATGAGATAATAAACAACAACGAGAAGGAAGATGAATTTGTGTTTGTGTTTGAGTTAGGGTTAGGAGAATGTTTCTTATAATGAATGCGAGTAAGAATTTTTTTAATTCTCTTTTTATAGTTTTTAACTTTAAATATTGTCTTTATGATTAATTATATTAAAATAAAAATATTTTATTTATTTATTAGGCGAGGCACGGGCTGGTCCACCGCATCTTGCGAGCTAGCCCGACGGGTTGACTGATTTGCGACTGAGTGAGCCAATACGGACTAGCCGGAAACACCAACTTACCCCATTATATTATAGCAAATCGACCCATCGGATCTAATATGTTTTGTCATATATAATATGTACATACATAGACATTCACATAATTAAAAAAAAAAAAAACAAATATATATATATAAATAAATAAATAAAATTTAACTTTAAATACAAATTATAAATTCGTAATATCAAACACAATTTTTCATCACAATTTTAAGTTTTTAACAAAGACTTAGAACATAATTTTAAAAAATTAATTAATATATTAAGTCCATAATAAAAGTCATCTACGTAAACATCAAAATTAAATCTTAAACAAAGTTAATAATAAAAATTCTAAGATATTTAATAATTTATATATTTTTTTAAGTGAATTATTTTGTTATTGACACCTTTACCCTACTAATTGTTTTGAACTTGTTGATTAATTACTTTTTCGCGTGTTATTGTTAAAAAATATTTCGTGCATTAGTTATTGATGTTAATAGATATCATAGGACTACACAAAGATATATCTAAATGGATTGAAATTGGAAATTCATTTTATAAATGTCCTCTTCACTGCTCGATTTAAGAAATATTTAAAAAATATGAATAATAGAGAGAATAGAAATTTAAAAGGAAAAATCTATGGTATTTGTAATTTTAATTAGAATTTGATGAGATTTAAACAATTTAATTAATAACTTGGGAAGAATTTAAATAAAATTTATAATTAAAAAATATGTAAAATATTATTAAAAATATATTTAATTTGAAAATATTAAAAAAATTAAAATAACATAATCAGATATAATGTATACTATAAAATTAAAAATATATTTAAATCTTTCATCGATATATATATATATATATATATATATATATATATATATATATATTTAAATATGTAAAAAAATTTCAAACATATCAAAATATTAAATAAGGGTATATATAATAATTGGAAATTTATTTATAAAAAAATAAGTTATATATATATATATATTCTTGTTTAATTTTAGAAAATAATAACGTAAGAGTAACTCATTTATTTATTATATTTAATTTCAGTTTATATAAAAATTAATTTCAATTAAATTTTTATCTATTTTATTAAATAATTGTTTTATATTAAATTATATTTTAATTTAAATTTTATTAAATTATAATAAAAATATTTTAATAATTTATTAATCTATTTTATTATTTAATTATTTTTAATTAATCAAATCAATCTTATTTATTATTATATTTTTACACATTTCACTTCGTTTTTTATTCTCTTTTCTTCCATTTAAACATTTTTGTTTTGACTCTCTAACTTTTAGTATTCAATCCAAACATTATATTAAATTTAATAAATGATCTAGTTGAGGTTAATATTCTTAATTTTAATACAAAATAAAAAATTGAAGTTAAATGGATAGGTTTAAGAAAATCCCATCTATTTGAAAAAAATCAGTTCGAATTGTTTGGTTTTGAACAATGTAGTTTTGACCAGATTCATTCTAGCATTGGAATTGAAGACTTCAAAAAATAATTCATGCAAATTCTTGGCTTTTGTACAAACTCTTAAGCCACTGAAAATACTTCAAAAAAGAAACCCAACGTTTTATAATTCAAATGCCACCAAAGATCTCTCCAAAGACCTGGTCGTTTTCCGATGCGTGTCCTCTCTCGTAGAGTGCAACAAATTTTGGGACCCAAACCTCACAATGACTCGTTCTATTACACAGACCAGTTGCACCTATGCAAAACCACCCACGCCCTTAAAAAAGCGCATGCCCTGGTTGTGGTCGCTGGCCACGAGCAAGACCCGTTCATCGCCACCAAGCTCATTGACAAGTACTTTCACTTTTCCAACCTTCAACTCGCACGCAAGGTGTTTGACAATTTGTCCGACCCAGATGTTTTTTGTTGGAACGTGGTCATCAAGGGATACGCCAATGTGGGTCCCTTCGCTGAAGCCTTGAACGTCTACACTGCGATGCGTTGGCGGGGCACCTCCCCGAACAACTACACTTACCCGTTTGTTCTCAAGGCTTGTGGCGTCGAGGGAGCTTCTAAAAGCGGTCAAGTAATTCATGGGCACGCTGTGAAGTGTGGATTGGACTTGGATTTGTATGTGGGCAATGCCCTTGTTGCGTTTTACGCTAAGTGTCAAGAAATTGAAATGTCTAGAAAAGTGTTTGAAGAAATCCCTCAACGAGATATTGTTACTTGGAACTCCATGCTTTCGGGGTATATCGTGAATGGCTATGCGGATGATGCTATTCTGCTTTTCTATGATATGCTAAGAGATGAAGTTGTAGGGGGTCCTGATCATGCCACATTTGCAACTGTTCTTCCTGCGTTTGCTCAGGTAGCAGATATTCATGCAGGATATTGGATTCATTGTTATATTGTAAAGACAGGGATGGTACTCGATTCGGTTGTGGGAACTGGACTTATATCGTTGTACTCGAATTGTGGTTATGTAAGCCGGGCGAGAGCGATATTTGACAAGATCTCTGTTAGGAGTGTTGTACTGTG